AGCTTAGAATTTTCTTTTATGATCCGTATTTACCCATCTTCATTTATATTTTCCAGACTATTCTTCTTTTGTTACTCCCAGCCCATATACAAAATAACGAAAGAAACAAAGAAAATGAGCATCATCATGAACCAGCAGCAGCCATGAATGGCAAAAAGCTTTATGCTGTTGTAAAAGTCCTTGATCGAAGACTGACAAGCAAAGGAGAGGAGAAGTACTTATTAAGATGGAAGGACTCCTGGGTCCCGAAAGAGTGTTTACAATGTGATGTTCTTCTAAAGGAGTTTGAGGATTCATATAATGAAAATAAATAAATAAATAGACTAATATATAATAAATAAAAAAATAATAGACAATAAACATAATTCATAGATCATACAACCAACTTTGTGTTTAAATTTCAATCTTTTAACTACGATGTTTCTTCCTTTGAATTTCTTTCACGAATGTAGCAGAAATTTATTAGCTTTACTTTTTATTAATTTTTTGTCTTTTGTGGTAATTTATTGATTGGGTTCATATGGTCTTCTCTTATTAATTAAAAGTTTATGTAAGACTTCCATTAATTGTCAATATAAAATATAAAGTTTTAGAAATTTGTTAAATCATAATTGAAGCAAGCTTAAACTTTTAAATCATATAGGAAGTTGTAACAGTTTTTTTTTCAAATAAATAAAATAAATTTGCAGTAGATTAACACCCTCTCAGCCAAGAAGATTCGCCCCTTATTCAGCAGAACAATATTCATTCCCCTCTTTTCTTAATAGTGGAAATTACAGTTTACTTCTTTTCGAAATTAATAAGTTTAAAGCAGTTTTCAATATCATAAATATCGCATTTCGTGTTGTTGCATAGTAATGTAAGTGAAATACAAACAGTTTTATTAAAGATTTAATGATAATGCTTAGAAAATAAAAAAGAAAAAGTGCCACATTAGAATGAGGCTAATAGGCCTTCTCTTTCTTTTTTGACATTCGCCATTGTTGTATTCGTCTCGTTCACATCATCAGTGAAAATTTTCGACCTAAGAAACAATATTTAATAATTTTTTTTTCTCTAATTTTGAACGTACAGAAAATATCTTGAGTGATATAAATGAATAGTTTATTACGTCAGATATGCTCACGTGGTGCATTAGTTCAGAAATTAAGACTGCCAGTCCAATCAGCTAGCAGCACATTCTGGTTACCAAGTTTAACCTCCAACTTTTGCACATTGTACGTTCAAATATTTTTTAATATTAGAAAACTTTAGACAATACTTAATTCACTTCATTTTATTATTCTATTAATTTTTTTTTTGTTCCAAAGGTATATCAGATCAGAAAATCAACGTGGAGGATATGGAGGTGGACGATCAGGAGGAGACTCAGGTATTGCACGACGTAATGACCGATTTAATGGACGTGTAGAAAAGAATGGTTATGGAGGAGCTGGTGGTCGTAGCAAAAACAGCTTAGACGAGCAACAATTGAAACGTATAAATTGGAGTCAAGAACAACTTACACCTCTAAGAAAAAATTTTTATAAGCCATCTTCCAGTGTAACGGCTCGTTCACGTGCTGATATCGAAAGCTTTCATCAGAAACATGAAATAACTGTTCGTGGACGTGATGCTCCTTCAACAGTTTTCGAATTCAATGAGGTTGGCTTTCCCAGTTATATTTCAACAGAATTGTCACGTCAAGGATTTAAACAACCGACAGTTATTCAAGCACAAGCATGGCCAATAGCAATGAGTGGACGAGATCTCGTCGGTATCGCTCAGACAGGTTCTGGAAAAACTCTCGCATACATTCTACCTGCTCTTGTTCACATCACCTATCAAGAAAAATTACAACGTGGTGATGGACCAATTGCTCTTGTTCTCGCACCAACAAGAGAGCTCGCTCAACAAATTCAAACAGTTGCCACAGAATTTGGAAAACGCATTGGGATTCGCAATACTTGCGTTTTTGGTGGAGCTCCCAAGCGTCCACAACAAAATGACTTACAGCGAGGCTCTGAAATTGTTATTGCCACACCAGGACGTCTCATTGATTTTCTCCAACAGGAAACAACAAACTTGTAAGTAAAATTGAATTCATGTGATTCGTATAAGATTCTTATAATAATAGCCTTCCTTAATTAGAAAACGTTGTTCATATTTGGTACTCGATGAAGCTGATAGAATGCTTGACATGGGCTTTGAGCCTCAAATTCGTAAAATTATTGAGCAGATTCGTCCCGATCGTCAAGTTCTCATGTGGTCTGCAACATGGCCTAAAGAAGTGAAGAATCTCGCCGAAGAATTTTTAAATGACTACGTTCAAATTAATATTGGATCAATGAACTTATCAGCAAATCAAAATATCTTACAGGTAAAAATTCTTTCATAATTTCAAGAAATAATTTTTATAATTATCAAATATTTTTGTACGTTTTAGATCGTCGACGTCTGTGAAGAACGTGAGAAAGATGCTAAATTAATTACATTATTGACAGAGATTCAAAGTGATCGTGAAAGCAAGGCAATCATTTTCGGGGAAACAAAGAAAAAAGTTGACGATATAAAATATTTCTTAATGAAGAATAATTTCCGTGCTGTTGCCATTCATGGTGACAAATCACAACGTGAACGTGATTTTGTTCTTAATAAATTTCGTCAAGATCGTCAAGGAATTTTAATTGCAACCGATGTTGCATCGCGTGGACTCGGTAAGTTTTGTTAGTTCTAATGGGATTTTCAATCGAATCTGTACGATTGAAAAGAGAATTTCGCAGCTCAATCTTTATTTAAAAAAAGTCAGTCATATAGGTGATGAAGAGAGAATCTCATTTTGATTTTCGTTTCTTTGGTTGGACGATCAACCTTCTTACAGTTGCTAACTTGCACATTTTATTAGTAATTCAATGGATTTAAATTTTTAAATTTCTTAACATTTACCAGAAGCCAAAATGATCGGAAACTTTTCCAGTATTCACTAATCGTCTTTCTCATTTTTTTCTACATTTTTTGTTGATTTTACAGGACTTCCGCCTCTTGTGTCAACTTCTTGAACACAGGATGGTCACAGTGTTGTGAATACTGGAACACAATGTTGTTTTTGGTTTTGAAAAAAAAGAAATGAAATGAAAAAAATCTTCATTCGCGTCCTTGTCAGTTTTGAAATGTTTCACGGGGAAGAATAGAAATGAATGAAAATGTGCAAGTTTTATTTTTCCGAAAGAACTGCTTGAGATTCTACAGCAATGAATCCTTGTGGAAGATCCTCCAGTTGAATGTCATCATGATGATTTGCGGTGGTAATAATGAAGCCAGCAATAATATTAATGGTGTTGTGGATCTCCAATGACAAGTTGAATGGAGGCCCACCCCGAAAAAAATATTAGAAAAAAAATAAAAAGCTGGAGAGAAATTGTGCAAAGAACTCGAACGTGATCATATATATCGATGATTCACTAGGCAGACGGGACAGGAATGATGGAGAAATGCATCCATCATCCTTTGGAATAAAAGCAATAAAAATGTGTATGCGAATTCATAGCAAAAAAATTAACAAGCAAATCTTCGAAAATTTCAAACACATGTCAGTAAAGAAAGAATGAAGGATTGTGAAAGATCAAAATGAATCGAATGGTAAGTTATTAAAAAAACAATGAACAACTTAATTTACTGACATGTAAGAAATTTTGAAAGTTAATATGTATAAATTGACTTAAGTTAAGTTTCCTGAATTCAACGTCATCAAGCGATACACATTTTATAATTGTAATTAATAATAATTATACATTGCCTTGTGAATGCAAATAGTGATAATTTCTTTGAAACTTTTAAACGATATGATGTCACTAAATCAACATAAAAAAATGAGTTTTTTCAGTTTTCCTCGACAATCTTTTATTCGTCATTTCTTTATTTACAAATATTTCCATCGATCTAAATTACCACTGCAGATTGTGTAATAATGACAACAGACATCACACATTAAACATCGGGATGTAATTTTCTTTGATGTGGAAATGTTTACTTTTTAGTTCATTCGGCCTACAAATATTTAGCAAAGAAAGAAGCAAGAAAAACTTCAATAAATTTATCTCCTTGTTCGTGACTGACTTGCAAAGATGCTTAGAAAATATTTATGACAAAAACAACAGAAAACAAAAAGAAATGTTAGAATTTCGTTTTAACATCACGCTCAGATGATATCACATCACGCTTTATGTATTTATCTTTTGCTTTATCAACTAGAAATTATGATTTATTTATTTGGGGGTGAAGAAAGTAAAATTTTTTTATCCTTTTTTTATCTAACATTGAAAAAATGTTTTTACGGTGACAAATTCTCGAACATGTTTTTGATCAAAGCTTTTCATAATGTCCTCGTCACCTTTGTCGACCTTATTCAAAGATCAAAAATAATTTTAGCTGATGATAATCTATTTGAAAAATGATGAGAAAACGATGAAATGATTCTTATTCTTAACTATTTCCTCAAGTAACAGAATTTCTTATGCATCCCTTGCAATATTTAATTGAATTTCTCGTAAATCATAATCTAACATAAACTTTTCCATTCTCAAGATGTTGACGACGTAAAGTTTGTCATAAATTACGATTTTCCATCAAACATCGAAGATTATGTTCATCGTATTGGAAGAACAGGAAGATCTAACAACAAAGGCACGTCATACACATTTTTCACAGCGACCAATGGAGGTAAAGTTGATGAACTCATCAACATCTTACAAGAAACAAATCAGGTAAGAATTGATATTCGATATCTCTTCAATCAACTAACTCTTTTGTTATTTAAAGTATGTTAACCCAGAACTTTATGGACTGAGAAAGTTTGGTGGAAATAATCGTCGTAATGGAGGTGGCGGTGCACGTTACAACCAACAACATGGAACATTTAAGAAAGGTTCATTCGGCCAAAGAAGTCATCACGGTGGTGGTGGCGGCGGCGGCGGCGGCGGCTATGGTCAACGTTATGACAATGGCGGTGGATTCAAGAAAAGCTTTGATAATTATGGAAGCAGCGCAAGTGGAAGTGGAAGCAGATTTAATGATAGAAATGGTGGTGAAGCATCTCGTAGCACTTATACACATGCTAATGGGCACACACGTTTTAATTAAATTTCCTACATTCAATTCCACATACGATTAAATATTTAGATGATTCAGAATTCCATAAAAAAGTATCTAAATTGATAGATCACTTGATATTTTTCTTGTAAATGTAAGAATAAATATTTTCTTAGCTAAAGTCTCAACAATTACATAAGGCATTGTAGATGAATCACCGCTCTCATAAGTTGTTTCTAATTACCTACGAATAACCATTTTACTTCTAACTTATGAATAAAATTGATGTAAGAAATGAAAGAAAAAGAAATAAAAAAAAAAACAGGAAAAGAAGAATTAAAATTAAATTTATTTTAATGATTTCAAATCATTTAGGAAACAATTTAATCATATTTTTCTTATGGTAGGTATTAAAACATTTTTATCTTTAAAAGTTATCGAATGATAAATGTAAGATTTCCTTTGTTCATTTTCAGTTCTTATTTAAAAAAGCACTCATAATTTCAATGAAAATTCTTGAGAAAAAAGTTGACATTTATTCTGTTTTCAATCTAAATCAAGTTCATTAAGCTCACTTTTAATAAGAAAAGAAAGAACATGCACAAACATTGAGGTGCGTTTTCAATAGATTAAACCTCGCGGGGCTTTGTTGAGTGGAACTCTAATTTTTCATTTCCCCGTTGTTTCATTTTTCTCTTTCAACGCTATACTTTCGTTGGTTTTTGGTTTGAAGAATTAACTCTGCAATCATTCAGTGTTCAGCTGGTGAGCAAACGGTTTTTGAAGTTTTTGTTAAAACAAAATTTTCATTAAAATCGTGAAATTGAAATTAGGTTTTGATTGAACTTCAAGCAGATTGTGATTTAAAAGTAAGAATTAAAAATTCTTTATTAGTTTGAAAGCTTTTTGTGGAAGCTTTTGCAACGTGTATGTTTATTATTGAAGCATATTAGAAGTATTTTAAACTGTCTAATGGAATATAAATTTTAAATGAAATTTCTGATGCCTCGGGAATCAAAGTTTGAATTTAATTTATTTTCTTCGTACTTCCATCTTGTTATGAAATCTCTGTTTAATGATAATTTTAAAGTAGATATAAAACTATGCACATAATTAAGTGGAGTTTTAAGAGAATAAGTGCCTAACTCGAAAATAATTATTTGTATCATTTAATTTTTTTTAATTTTTTGCTTGGTGTTTGTGTATGATCATCATCACTTAAATACTCTAAAAACAACACAATGCCACACAGTTACTAACTTAAAAACAGCTGCAGCTTTCAGTTTGGTTTTTCATTTTGTGCCACCGTGTAAGAAAAAATAATCATAAAGAAAAATAAAGTCGGCGGATTGATATTTGCACTAAACCAAGAGTGATTAGATAACAAAGGAGAACGATTTGGTTTTAAAAAGCTTGTAAATAAAAATTATTATAGATAAGAAACGAAGGTAATTTTAAAATTTTAAATAAAATCGAGCTTTAGACATCAAGGTTCAAGTAAATTGAGATTATTTCCGAGCTGCAATATTTCTTAATGTCATTAACCTGCTCATTAATCAATCATGAAATTAAATTTCATTGAAAAACTTTTATAAGCTTTAAATTCCGGTCTAATTTATTTATTTTGAGCCTCTTTGTTTCTCACAATTCGTCACGACGGGGATAAAAAATCGTCTGCTGCTGTAAATTTCACGCTAAGCAACATGTCTTACTGACTTTCCAAAATATCTAATTATTTTCATTGTTTTCATTTTCAATTAGGCTCAGATCTTGTTCCATAGATAATTTTATGTGAATTCAGCTTTCGTTATGAGTACAATTGAGTTTCTTTGTCTTATCAATGAAGCGACTCTTTTAACTGATAAAAGTTTCACGATTTAGGTATTTAGGTACCTTTGAATGTGAGAAATTGAATACAGTCGTAAAATATTTACGTAATTTTTTATATTTGTTTTAAAATGTTCTTGTTTGTCGATTGCTTTAATATTTAATATTTCACTTGTGTTCTCTATCGAGACTTCCTTCCGTTTGTTGTAACTACATTAAATTAAACTTGATCAAGGTCGTTCGTTGTTGCTGAAATATTTAATGTCATTTCTAGATCAGAGTATCTAATGATTTTGACAAATGAAAAAAATTAAATTATTCTTAAAAAGAACGATAGAAATTATTCAGAAACATAAGAAAACTTAAATTTCCTCTCACGACCTTGACCCTCTTTAAATATTTCACCCCTCACCCCTCAACTCTTTTTCTGTGCTTTTAATACCTCAAAGTTGTAAGCATAAGTATGTCAAGTTTATGTTGCAATCTATTGTCGATTTTATTTTCACTCACATGATGCGGAGAATAAAAGTTACCGACAGAAAAATCAAAATTGGGTTTCGTAATTCAGATTGCATTTGAACGTTGAGTGAAACAGAGTGTTGAACATTAAGAAAAGTAGACTAGAAACTTCATTTTTTTATATTTCTTTCATAAAATTATGCAATTTCAGATAAATTTTAAATGAAATATTTAATCATTGAGATTGATTGTTGAAAAATGTGGTTGAACTGTTATCAAAGAAACTTCTTGTTCTGATAATGTTGAATTCAGGTAAAGTTTATGACTGATTCAGTTACCTATATATTTGTTGCAATGAATTTCGCAAGTGATTCTTTCATAGCAAATCGAAAGAAAAAATTACGTTTAAACAGCGACAATTTCTAAAAAAATCCTTCAACTGTGTATAATTCAAATTTTATGTTCCAAAAGTCGATTCAAAAAGTGTTAAAAAGATTTCTATCGACCTTCATTTGCTTGCGGAAAGCATCAAATTATATTGAACGCGTATATTTTCTTTATAAGCTAATAAATCTTTAAAAATTAATCATCACAAGTGGTATCCAATTAAATTAGCTGTAGAAATCGTAAATGCACATCAATGAACATCGCACGTTTATTGTGCATGATGAAAAGATATTATTGATTTAATTTTTATTCAATACCTACTTCTTCTTTTAATGGTGTTACGTTTCATTGATCATTAGATACAAATAAAAGAAAAGTCGATGAAAAATTTGCTATAAAAATTGAAATTAACCCATTTAAAGCAGCAGAAAATTTTGCATTTAAATTTTTTTTAAAAAAATCATCAGCAGTCATTCCGTACACACGTGTTGTAGTTATTGTTTACTAACGTAACTATGATTTCTTTACCCTCACCCTTAGACTGATACACAAAGGAAAGGAAATCTTATAACGTTGACATTGCATTGTAAACATGTCGTCGAAGCCCTCAACGCCAGTCACCCAACGACGATTTCAAGAGAGCGAATTTAGTCGAATTCCTGTTTCACTCTCCCCGATTCCTTTTCGACGCACACACTCAATGCGACTGCGTACAAATGGAAACGGTCTCCTAAATGAAACGACATTGAAACAACACAACAGAAATTTTGTGCAAACAAGAAACAACTTCGAACGTAACCATCAGCAGCTGAAATTAAATTTGTGGAACAATCGTCGTGGCAGTCTCACAATGGACGCAAAATCTGATTCGAACGGTATTGATTCTGGTGGAACAGATGAAATTGATCACAGTCCAAACAACAATCTAAAACAAGTAAATGGAAATTTACGTCAAAGCAGTTCTAACAAAAACGATCGGGGAATGGTAAGAATTTTCGAAACATTTGCTTAATTTCCTTCATTGCAATTGGACATTTGCCAAGAAAATTTAAAGATTTTCCAAAGTGTATTAAAACTTTTCATTATTCAACATTGTTATGTAATATTTAAAAAAAAAAGAATTTGGAGGGATTTTCTGCATCAAACGTATTTTATCGATTTTCTTTTTCTGTTCAATTGCACTGCTTGGAATTATATCACATGACTTAATTTCGCTGTTTAATCTACAAGCCCTTTGATTAATTAATATTCTGAATCGATTTTAGACACTGAACCTCAATAGTCCATTAGGTTTCCAACAGAGGTCGCCGAGGACACCACAAACACCCAAAACACCGAATGGAATTCATTACGTAAAGAATACGCACAGTCCCAAGACTCCACCAGTCACACCGGATCGATATGCTGATGATGACCTCGATTCATTGCACAGTTATTCCTCAATGGCTTCATCAAACTGCGAACATCCTTATTTTGCTAGAAATGGAACAACGTTCAGTGGTAGAAAGATGAAATATGTTGTTCATTGCTCGAATTATGCTGGTCAAGCTGGCGATGAATATTTAACACCAACACAACGTGCCCAAAAGCATCTCAGAAGACTTAAAGAATTATTGGCTGCAGCGCGTGTTGATTTGGAACAAAAAGATAGCGAAATTCTGAGATTAACGAAAGAAGTTGTTGAACTTCGTTTGTTCAAAGCTTCTTTGAGTTCACCCGAAGAGTGTTCAAAATCGAGTGATTGTAATTCAGTTCCGACAGTTCGTGAAAATACAACAAATGATTTGCACACGCCAGCATCTGAAATTGCATCACCGATGATCGAAATGGTAGAAGATGGCTTTAAATCAAGTCCGCGACACACCATGAGTGCTAATCGAACACCACTTCATCATGCCGTTCACGCTGTTCAATTCATTGATAAATTGGGGAACTCTGAAATGCAAAGTTCGTTTGCTGATTCAGGTCATTTTGAAGATATTACAACATCATCAATTCATTCAAAAGATTCTTTTGCCAACACACAAGATCGGTTAGAGTTACCGATTATAGTTTTTTTATTCATTCAATGATGATTTTATAATTTAATATTTCAGAGCTTCGGGAAGCGAAGATGTTGATCAAGTCGACCCAGAACGTCAACGTTTGGTTCAAATGTATGAAGAGAAAATTGAGGAATTAATTAAGCAACATGACGGTGAGCTTAACGAAGAGAAACGCTGCAATAACAATCGTGTTGAAGCATTACTTGAGCGCTTGGCCGTTGCTAATTCAAGATACTGCGATCTAATGCCTGACTACGAGCAAGTTAGTGACACTTCATCATCTATTTCTTCTTCTTTCGTTCATTTTGTTGACTCTTTTACTTCATTTAAATTTTTCTGGTCCGACAATGATTATTGATATAAAATAAACTAACATGAAAACTTCATCCATTTCCACTGCTTGCTATTCCTGGGAAAACTAAAGGCAAAGGAACGCATTCGTGAACTCGAACGTGAGGTTGAATCTCTACAAGAAAAGTTAGGGGAACAGGAAGACAAAACGAATAAAATGTATTTGCATATGTATGCAAAGGAACAAGAAGCTGTTGCCAGCACAAGCCGGGTAAGATGTTCATTCATCAGATGTTTGTGTGAATAAATTTCCTCTATCTGTTGTATATTTTCAGGCATCGATGGAAAGTTTACCAGGTCCGTCAAGAATCTCCGTACCAGAACTCATGCATCAACTTCAAGTAACACAAAACGAACTAGAAAACATAAGGGTAAGGAATCGAGTGGGTTTTGTGTTAACTAAATATTTTATATATTTAAATATTTTCAATGTGGTTGTGGAACACGTAAAATGTTTATCATTTCACTTTACCTTCTCACTTACAAACAAATGAAAAGAAAGAGAAAGAAGTTGAAGAAATTTTAAAAAAAATGTTGAGCACATTTTCTCTCTCCCTAATTAAGTTTTGATAAAAGAAAATAAGAAACACTAATTAATTGTATGAGACAATTATTCACTCATTGCGTTTCACGCTTTCATCATTAACATTCTTGTTTTTTTTCATTTTCTCATCTTTTCAATTTCTTGTTTTTCCGTCTGATGATTTTGAACGAACGAATAGGATGAACGTTATACTCAAGCAACGGGCAATCAATCAATGTTGAGTGCGAAAGAAGCTATTTCGCTTTGGCTTCTTGGTGCGAGGAAGGTAAATTGCAGTTTGATCTTCTTTCTCCAATCAACTTTTAAATTTATTGTTTCATAGTCTAAAAACTTTTATTTCTTTCTTGAGTTTCACCCTCGCATTCTTTAAATAAATAAAAAGAAGAAAAACTTTGAAATAGAAAAGTTCATCAAGTCATAAGATGATTCATTCTTTTTTCTGTGTTTATTGTTAGGTAAAACTTGAACGTCTTCTAAGCTTAAGACTTGAGATATAATTTATTGCACGCTTTTACATTTAAGAGAAAAAAGAAACTTTCACAAATAACTACTTAAGGATGCTTTTATTTCATTATTTATTCCAGACTATGTATAAGCGAATGGTTGATGCTCATGAAATGAAACCATCTCGAGTTGATCCTGAAATTACTTTGCAGTTTCTTAAGAGTGCAATTTATTACTTTTTAACTGATAAGGAGAACTCTCAAGGACATTTAAAAGCGATTGAAAGCATTTTAGGATTCACTGAGAAAGAGAAGGAAAATATCGACAAAGCCAGAAATTCGTAAATTATCTACTTAAAGATAAGAGATATTAATTAATCTATTAGATGTATCTGGACAACAATTATAAAGAAAAAAAATTATAATTCTCCAACTTTAATGGACTTCTAAGAAATTGGATTTTAGCCGCTGTTAAAACTTTTTGTTTTATCATCAAACATTTTTAATTAAATATAATTTCGAGACGTAAGTTATCGAAAGCTTTTTGGAAATGCAGAGAAAAAAAGATGGAAATGAAAGAAATATTTACATCGCCTTAGACACCATCATCGCTTTAAATTAAGAGAATTTAGGACTGAGAATGTGGAAACACAAAGATGAATGTTTACTACTTATGTTCGGAAGCGCTATTGATTACCTTTAAAACTTCTTATTCAAAGAAAAAATTCATGAAATTTCATGAAGTGAACATTTTATTTTTAGAGCTTTTAGAGAGAAAATTAACTGGTGAAACAGATGAAAATATTTTATGTCAAATATAGTGTGTTGAAATGATGTTTGAAATCATTAATTCAAGTTAAAAACCTAAGTATGTCTGCGATTAAATTGTTGAAGAATAAAAAGCAGAATAATCTGCAAGTATAAATAAATATTTAAAATAAAAATTTCATTCTTGTAATTTTTTGTTCTTGGGAGGTTAAAATGATCAACGAAATTATAAATTTGTTCGGACAACCATGCTTATAATAATTCTAGAGTTTACAGACATTTCAGACATGATTGATCTAAAATAAGGTTGAACGAATTCATGAACTTTCCATGACTTTAAATGTGAAAGGAAAAATAAAACTTTCAATCATTTTTTATTATTTTTTTATTGGCAAAAACTTTCAATGAATCGTGAGTCTAAATTTATGGGATAGATATCAAAAGATATTCCTCCCTTTTTTAATCAAGTTTGGTAAGTTTTATGAAGTAAGAAAAGATATCTGTAGGTTGTTCACATTACAAATTATCACGTTTTGATAACTTGGTATCATTGATTGATAGTTATACGAAATTTACAACTTTTAATATGTCTTTAGAATCGGGTAATAAAACAAATTGGTTATAAAATATTACAGACGAGACGATAACAAGGATCAAATGATACATAAAAAAAATTCTTAATGTTCATAAAAATCTACGGCACTTAAAATGACGAATTGTTTATGCACGTTTTTATTAAAGAAAATGAATTCAAATGAATGATGGGATTTCTAAAAGTTGAATTCACATTTTTATGATATTTATGTCTGCTATGAAAGCTCTAACAAAAGTAAAGGGTGAATCTTTATAACTCTACAGTTCCTAATAAAAATAAACATTTCCCTTCCAACCACTGACATGCATTTTGTTGACTCGAATTGTAGTTTGATTTCAAAAGCATGAGATAAAAAAATGAAAATCAAAAACTCTTTCGATAGAAAACTTCGATAAAATGTTTGTGTGCATCAACTGTTGTGACAAATAGAAAAAATTTGAATATGTACATCTGTAATATTTAGCTGCAAAGAATGAAAATCAGGTCGACAATGAAAATCTGAATCACGATTTTCACATGTGGCACATGTCGTTATGTAGATAAGTTTTGGAAAAGTCAGAATTGGTTAGAACTTTGTAAGCTCAATTTAAAAAAAATGTTTGCACGTTTACTTATCATAGAAATCACAAACAATTTAAATAAATTTTTATAACATTAATTTCACTTTATTTTGGGTTTCTTCTTTGCTTTGAACAATTCATCTTTTTTTTGTGGAAATCTTAGGATTCATGAATGAATGTCACATGAGAATTTCGAACACAAAATTAAATTTCATTTTCATCATCAGATAATTTTTCTGAATATTCGAGTTTAATTACAAATACCAGACAAAGTAAAAATTTCGATTAAACATTTTCTTCCCCGTTAATTGGAAAATGTTTTGAACAAGCTTCGTTATTGTATGTAAATGTCATGTTCACTTAATGGAAACGAAGCTTTCTTAACTATGCTATTGATTAATTAATGAAAAAATTACTTTTGTGTTCGATTGAAATAACGAGTCAAGATAATTTAAGATGAAACTGCAAGCAACATTTGACTAATGAAACTGGTCAGAGTCAGATTACAACTTTCAGTCATTAGAGCTTCTAATCATGACGGAAAATTGTTGAAAAACATTGACAATTGTTTCATTAAAGTCTGCAATTTAGCGTCTTATTGCTTGACTCCATTGTTAATGAGTTTAATGAATGGTGAGAAAGCGAGAGACGTCTTATTGAAGAGAGTAGGTAGATGGTTGAATTCTGTTGGCGTTGTTTGAATGTTTAAGTTTTTGAAGAAACATTTCTCGATTAGCTTCTTGAATCGCTTCATACATTTTGGCTTCACTCATTATTTGTCTCATAAGATTCTCAATTGCAGGTTCTGAATTTAATTCCAACAGTTCAGAAACACTACTTTCGTCATCATCAAACGTTTGGGCAGGTTGAGGTGGTGCGATTTCACTGGAACGTTTTCTACCACATCCGGTAAATGCATTGCAGAAGGGTCGTTTGTTTTTAGGTTCAATCTGATTACTGTTACTTATTCTCTTGTAGCTTCTGGGATCCTAAATGCAAAAAGGAAATATTAATAAAGTAACTACGAAACATTTGTTTAAATTTTCATTATTTACTCGATCCGCTAAAACTCCGCAATTCACCACCTCGATAAAAAAATAAAAACACATCATGAGGGCGATTAGACTCTTATTCGACATTTTTCCCATTTTCTTGTGTTGAAATATGTTTAAGTAATTTATTTTTACTGCCGCAATCCTTTCAGGATGAACTGTTGGAAACAATAAGAAATTTTATGATCTGCTCAATTATTTTATAGAAGGTTTTTAACTCGAGGATTTGAAACTGCACATGATTTATAAAATGTTTTAAAACAAAAGTTTTATAAAGAACTGAATAGAAAAAAAAACTCCACGATAAACTTCATATGGGTTAGATTGCATAATCATTGAAGAGAAACTCTCTGATAAATATAACAATGTATGCGAACTGGTAGACTTCATTGCCACTCTGCATCAAACAGCCATTTTAGTTTTACTCTAGAAATCACTTAAATGTCACAGCATGTAGATGTAAACATAAATTTATATTGATGCACAAACATAAAAAACGAAAAGCTGCTTTTTCTAGTTTATCATAAACAAGAAAGTTCTTATAAATTCTGGAGAAGTTTTAAAACTTTTTCCTCATTTTTGGATGAAATTTTTCAAAATCTTATGATATTCTGAAATGAATAAAAACTGAGTTTATCTTACTTTCCGCTATTTTTCTTATTGATTCTACAAATTGTTTTACTCTAGAAAGTTAGAAAATTTCAGACTAGAGAACTTTTAATTGTTTTATTTATTTAAGCTATAACTTTGAAGTCACGTCTTATCGAATTTCACTCCTAACGATCTACTGACTTTAAGCAGCTAAAATCAGTTCTTTATATATTAAATCAATGTTGAAGACCACATGCTGACCTATCGTTCATAAAGCAATAAAAATATATTTGCACAAGATTCCTGCATAAACTGAGAAAGACGGAAAATATCGAAAAAAATTTATTAACTGAGCTAGAACGAATGAATTTGACAACTGTAGGCGATGAATGAAAGTTAAAGTGTTTCTGACCATGACGTTCCTTGCTGATCCGAGAAAAACAAAAATTTATGGAACCTTGAGATGTTTAAATAATTTTCATAAAATTATGACGTTCTTAATAAATATTTGATTCTATGCAAACCACGTAGAAGAAAGCAAATGCGCTACATAACTCTTCATGAGTGTTGGTCGCATCTTAAGAGGGATTAAAAAGGATACGAGAAAATTATTAATGACAAATCAAAGTAACATCATCGATATCTTTAAAGATATCAAGATGCTTCGTTAGTGGATTTAATTTTCATAAAGATTATTAGAAATCACTCTCGTACTTAATTAGTTTTTTTAATTTCATGATATCAAATTAGGAAATAATTCAAACTAGAATTTTCAAATTACCTATCTACCTAATCGACGTTTAAATTGATGAAGGCAAGTCAAGGCAGTTATAAATTTATCGAAGACACGTTTTTGAAAATATTCAAGACACATTTTGTATAAAACAATAATGCAACCCGTGGGTCTAATATGAAAATGATGTTATGTTATTTCATTCAAAACCATTAATATCTTGTTTATTCTAAGAATAATATACCAAAAAAGTGTTCAAGAATTAACATTAAAAATTTTAAAAATCTTGAAAACATAAAATTCAACTCCCCCTCCTCCTGTGACATCACTTACAGATGAAAAAGATTGCAAAAATCAACCAAGAAATATTGAAAAATCTTTTTTATAAAACTGCTGCATATTCGGACAGCTAATTAAGTCACAAATTAAATTTTGAAAGTTGTAGTAGTTTCTAAATTAGTTAAAAGTTAAAATCTTTCAATTTTATCGTGTGAATTTGACGAAATATTGCAAAAAGTTGTGTGTCAATGTCAGTCGTGAATGAGAGAAAAGAAGATTTCATATGATGATTCATTCAAGTGGTTTCATGACTGTATACTATACTTAAAATAAAGTTTATCAAACACCAAAATATTCCTACACACAATCATTCAGTTATCAGGGTTAATTCTTATCAATTACCACAATCATAAGTGCACAGGAAAAGCCAAAGAGTAGCAAAGAAAAATAAATGGAATGAAAAATTGTCACAAAATGGAATTAAAAGTGCTATAAAGTTTAAAGTGAATTATTGGAGTGTGTAAAAGTAATTTTGCAAAAGTATTTTGTGCAATCCAAAAGTAGAAAATTGTTTTAAAGTGCGATGAAGAAGCAATTTCATAAAATCAAAATCGCAGCTGAAAATTTCAGTCAAAGGTTTGTTTTGGTTTTTTCTTCATGTTTCGACTGGATGTTCGAAGGACAAATTCCTCTGTCGTTCCAGTTTTCGAAATTATATTAAAAAAAAAACGTAAAACATTCGGAGAATTCCTTTGCAGAGAAATCTTTTGTCATATCGTGGGCGTTGGCATGACACTGGCCAATTTCTCAACATTTTACCACAAATCTTTGAAACTACTTAGTACGAGTAAACTAACAAGTTTCTGTTTGAATAATTTGCACTGTTTATCTAACTCTCATCTTCTTCGCCCTTTCATTATCAAATCAATAACAAACATTGGAGAGCTTATGAGATGTTTTAAATATAAAAATAAATATGATGATTAAATTCTATACACGAAATCGTGTATCGTCTGGTGTTTTCACTGTTGTTAGTCATGGTAATGCGATTGGACGATTACGAATTAATGATTACGTCATTTCTTAAGTCAATAACATTCTCGCATCTGCCTTGTTCCGTTTGTTTAGTTGCCTCTCTCAAGTTTCTGTTTCTTAAACTTTTTTTAATTCGTCGAAAATTGCCATTCGATTGAAATAAAAAAATCTCACACGATTTTAATTATATCATCAACATAATGGTCTATGAATACAATTTTTATGTAACAATTTGCCAAGAAAACGATGAAATTTCTCAAAGATTTATTGCAGAAACCGAAGTTCCATTCTAATTTTAAATTAATTTCATGGAAATTTTTTTTTTTGCTTGTTGCTGTTGAAGAAATGATTTTGAAAGATGAAATCCTTTTACAGATCAAGCAAGCCAGAAAAAAATGATGAGCTGCAGCATGTTGAGCGACAGGTTGATAAATACCGTGATGTTTTACAAACTCTCAGTAAAAAAGTGTCACCATCAAACTCGATATCAGGACAGGATGTAGTAGCACGTGAGAAGCGTATGAAGAAGACTCATGAATATCTTTTGGGTCAAGCGATGGAAGATTTAGAAAAGGATTTACCCGAGGGATTACTTCGGAAAATTTTAGATTATTGTGGTAAGCAGGGAAACCTTCTAATTTTTCGATTTGCTTTAAAATGTTGAAAATTTTAATTAAAATCTGTCATCACGTCTTGAACATTCATTTGTTAACTTCGAAGCGATAAATTATCGTTTTCGCTTACACTTTCAAGCCCAATATTTCAAGTTCTCTTTCTTTTTCTTCCTGACACCGATATAATCTTTTTCTTTTCTTTTATGTTCTCCGTATTATTCCAATTTTGAATTTCTCTAACACGTTTCTTTCTGGTTTCAATTGAAATATAATTTTATTTTTTATTTTTGGGTATAAAAACATCATAAACAATCCACAATCATAATTTTCGCACGGGAAATCTCAACAACGTAGGAAAACTTGAGAAAACAATAGCAAGCGAGATCGTGAAAAATGAGATGAACATTGAAAGTGATGTCAGTAAGAAGCTCAATTCCATCATTGAAAGTCACATAACGACAGTGCAAAAACAGAAACGAGTCGTTGCTAAGTGCCATCAGGATAATGAAGCAGCAAAGCAGAAGTTACAGGTGAGATATAAAACATCTTGTCCGTTACATTTATTTGTTCACAATTTATTTCAATCAAAATTGTGCCCTTTGACTTCGAAACTAATTTTCGTCTTCCAATTTAATCAAATTGTAGTCATTTGTTGTATGTGAACTTATTTGTCAACTTGAAAATGCTATTCAATCAGAAACCGCAAACTTATAAACTTTTTAATCTGAAAAAGCACAATCAATGACCGAGAATATAACTAATTGAAAATCTTGTTCAGTTCTGATTGAAAATTTCGAAATAACATTTACACAATTTGATTTAAATTTTCAAGTCTCTCCGCTTACTCATTTGACTTTTGGCCATAACTTTCTTTCGTTTTTGTTTAAATATTTGGCTTAACTTTTCGGTTTATATTTTTACAGAGTGCTAGTCGACTCAGTGAGAATGCAGCAAAAATGAACCAATTGAAAGATGACCAAGAAGAATGTGAAACGCGATTAGAGAAGGAACGTGACATTTATGCATCTAACATGTTTGATTTATTAGCAGAAGAAGATAACATTTCCAACTACATTTTGAACTACGTTAAATGTAAGGCAAAGCTAATCTTATCAAACTTTCGTAATTAATTTACTAACTGTTTGCAATTTTACTTCTTTTTTTAATTAATTTATGTTCAGATCAACAACTTTTTTACAAGTCAGCGCTTGAGGAAATTGAAAACCTCATGAGTGATATGAATGCAATGATAAGTGAGTGTTTTTAAATGCCACAGTTTTTCACTGACAACTGTCTCTCGGTTGGTGAAAGACTCGTTTTTTTTATTACTTTATTGATAAATGTAGTGAATGCTCTATAAAACGAACTTTTATGAATTTGTTGATGTTGTTAAAGAGAAGAGCAGGAAATGTTTAAGTTTAAAGACGATTGAAAACATTTACTTCTCTTTAATCATGAGCTTTCACTGTATTTATCCGGTGACATTTTGCCCATGGCAACAACATGGGAAATTGAAAAAAATCATACGGACAAAATAATTGCATGTCGTTACATGATTTTCTCATTTTTCGCTCTAATTGTTTCTCAACAATTTTTTGTTTTCTTTCATCAACACAAAGAAAATGAACAAATCTGAAATTTTATGAGAATTGACGAAAAAGAAATATTTGCAACTTTTAACTTACAGGAGTTAGTAACAAAAGAGTATTCAATACATCGCTTGAGGATCATCTTGATACGAGCGGAAGGAAGATTTCCTACGTAATTGAGCTATGTGTTTGTTGTTTACTTGAAAAAGGGCTATACGAGGAGGGTTTACTGAGAGTAGGTTGTGGTAAGATGCGAATACATTTATTGATTTTCTTTCTTTTCACACAATATCAAATCAATTTATTGTTGTTTAGGAAAAAGCAAACTTATGCGTATGAAAAGTGCGATAGATGCAAATTTTGTAACACCACCAATTCCACTTGAGTATCAAGATGTTCATGTTGTTGCTTCTGTTTTGAAAGCTTATCTTCGAAGTCTTCCTGAGCCATTGTTGACTTATCGTCTTTACAATGATTTCATGGAAGTCTCTCAAATTGTCAACGATCAACAACGAAAAGCTGCCATTCTTAACATCATTAATCAATTGCCTGAAGGGAATTACAACAATCTTAAATATCTGATGAAGTTTCTATCGAAATTAAGTGAAAAGAACCAACAGAATAAAATGTCAACACAGAATATAGCGATTGTTATGTCGCCAAATCTTCTTTGGCCGCAGAATGAGAATGATCAGAATTATGCGCAACAGGTGAGTAATGTTGACTTAATAAAATGAAAGAGCTGAAAGTAAATATTGTTTAATTGCTCAGGTGACATCAACATCGGCTGTGAATACCGTAGTTGAAACGTTAATTGGCGATTGGGATTTCTTTTTTGAAGGCGACGTCAACTTTTACGAGACAATGAGTCGTGATGAGCTTTTCCCTGATAACGGTGGCTTTCCTTATGATAAAGAACAAGCAGTAACTCACCATACGAAAGCTGCTGATCAAGTGATGATGTCTATGTCAATGATTGTTGGTGGTGAGAATGTTAAGAATGGTCCAGGACATGGACATGGTCATATACAATCGAAATTATCGCATTCGCGTTCGAGTAGTCATGATACTAGTCTCATATTAATAAATGATCCTCCGATGAAATCGAGTCGTTCAAATAGTTCACTTTCCGATACAAGTCCAACGACGGGCTCACCAAAGTTACCGACACGACGGAAACCAAAAGCTCCTGTACCGCCTGCTTTGACGACACCACCATCAGCTAAACCAAAATTGGAAACGAAAATTTCCTTACCAATGAGCGTCTCAAAGCTTCATGACACGTCAAGTTTTAGTTATATAGATTCAGATCCATCACTTCATGTCGAAGAAGGAAGTCTTAAGAAAGCTGGAAGTTCCGACAATATTCTAGCAAAACCCGACCGTCCACCACGTCCTGTCTTAGCTAATGCTGAATGTCAGACAATGTCGAAAGCCTTTGTTCGTCAAGTGCCGTTGAAAGATAAATCATCATCAGCTTCAGGTTCGTCAAGACCTGTCGCAGCACCAAGAACCACACTCATCAGAGGTGAATTTGAAAAGAGTGAAGAAAATTTGGTAAACTTACGAGAAAAGCCAGCAATTCCAGATAGACCAGCAACATTAGTTCGACCAGCATCATTTCGAGCAGCAACTGGTGGAATGTCATCACCAACATCAATTTTAACTAATGATAGATTGGTTGAAGAATTGAGTGCAACATTTGCGAATAAAGCTGCAACAACAGTTCGTCGAAATAATTCACTTCGTGATGGACGATCATCAGAATCAAATGGAGAAACGCCACAATCGAAACAAGTGACAACAATGTACAGTGTTGATAAACAACAAGTGTCTATAGTTGACTTACCACCAACTGGATCGCCTCATACATCACGAAGACAACTCTTTATTAATGAAAGTGATAACAAGGAAAATAGTCAAAATTTGAATGTGAAAAGTGAATTGAGTGGATCAACTGATGCCCTTACTGATGATCAATCTCAACAACAACCGTCATCGCCTAGAGAAGGAAAGATTAAACGACCACAAGTTCCACCACCAGCACGACCACGAAGTAGCGATAGCTCGGGTGACACCACTAAGTTATAACATGAAATGCTTATATAGTAAATCTTAACGCCATCGAGAAATTCGATGGTTAAATTTCTTTTTATTATTTAAATTTTCATTCATTGTTTAAATATCTTATTGTGACAATTGAATTGTTTTGCATGAAAATGATGTTTATGTATACTCCGCATATGTTTTCATTCTTTCTCCTCTTACATTAAAAATGTTTAGTCTGATACCGAGTGAAAATCAGGTTGCAGCATCTAAAAGGGGAAGAAAAGAAAAAAAAGTTTTTTCAATTTAAAGCTCAAATTTAAACAGAAAGAAATTCTCATGAAAATTATATCGTTGCTTCTTCGTAATGCTTTTTAACAAAGAAAATATATTTATAGGAAGTGTGAAGGGAGAAAAATTTGATCATCATAATCGAGTCTACAAGTTAAGAAGACAAAAGTGAAGAGAGAAAGAGAGTTTGCACTGTATTGAAATGTTATTGCAGTGTAAATTCTTCTACGAAATATTAATTATTATTTTCATATCAACAAAAGTAAACAACTAAAGAAAGAGATATTTAAATTTAGTGGGTGTTTTAGTGAGTGAATGTTTGTATGAAAGAATATTAATAGCATCATCATATGGCTTAAAGGCTTCCCAAGTTTATTTATAAATTTTCATTTAGTTTTTTGTTTACCTTGAAAATACTTTGTCGATGTCGGCTAAAACTTTGAGTATAATTGAAAGTTTTGTTAATTTTTTTTCCGAGTGTTTTCATTCTTATATTGTGAATGGTTCCAAGAGTGAAGATAAAAGAAATGATGATATACGATTATTTTGTCTGCTTCTAAAGCTCGAATTTAGTTGAGAAATTTTCCATAATCTCTTATAGCACTAATTGAAATCAGGTAGATAATTGGTTTATTAATGCATAAATGTGATGTCGATTAATTACTTTAAAGTCGAAATTATAAAAAGTATTCCGTTTACTTAATTTTTAATAAAATTTATTTTCTTGACTCTATCGATGAATGTTGCTTGATGAATTTAATTTGAGCTACTGTTGAAATTTTTAAATACATGACTGCACACGGAACATTGCTAAGAGCATTAAAAATTATACAATTAAGACGTTTAGAGATGACCATTAATCATTCGTCGAAAGAAAGAGAAAAAGAAAACCTCAAAAGACCACGAAAAGGAAGAAGAAGTAAAAAAATGTTTTCATATAATCAAGGGATTTGAGCTTTTCGTAGTCGAGACAGTTTTTCCCTTCAACTTCGACAAGAATATTTGTGACTGACTCAACATGAACAAGAAAAAGTAGAGCTTTGATGTTTTTTATTAGTTTAAATAATAAATGAGTCGTGATGAATGTTTTTATTTTGCCATCTCAGTCTCTCATCGTCTGTTAGTGAATAGATTGAAAATAGAGATTCTGATGAATTAAATTTCAAGATTCTTTGGTAAACAATTTTTTGTTATGTTTTCGTAGTTATTTGTTTTATGCCATCGTTTTCTAGAGGAATGGAATAAAAATATGTGAAGCGAATATGTTTTGATTCCATCAACTGCTATGTTCAGAGTTGAGATTTGATTCTTCTTCGTAAATGAAAATGCAGAACAATTTTAAACATTTTATGAGTGATTGTTGTTGAGGATTTATTAGTAAGAATAGTTTCTCGGTAATTGAAGCTTGAGAATAGCTACGAAAAGTTAAGTATGCGATATAATTTGCATCGATTAGTGTAAAAGCAATGATAGCTATCCTACTGAAAAATTTATTCAAACAACAATCCAGTGAGCTGCTAAATCACTTCACGCAAAATTACCTTCTTTTTGTTGCCTCACAAATCTCCACAAAAAAAATTAAAGTTAACTCTAATTAGCGAGAATTCTCTTTTGCTTGAATTGAGTTTTTCAAATATTTTCCCTACGTAGTCAGAGTTTTGATAAAGCTCGTTTCTTTCTTTTTTTTCTTCGTTGTCATCTTTAGGGTATCGCGTTAAAATTGTTATGGATGGCAAGAAAAAAATTGTCCTCCCTTTTCATTATCTAACGTTGCTAAAAAAGCTGTCATTTAAACCGCTCGGGTCATAAATTTTCTATTTGAAAGGTTTTTGACATTTTTTCCGTGCAAAATACGCGATAGGATTTTTCCATTTTATTCCAAGCTGCTTGGACTTTAATTGTCACAATTTATAATGCAAGTTTTCACTGATATTTTGGACTCTCGAGAGTTTTTTAATCATAAAGAAAAAGGAAATGGGGTTATTGGACTCACATTCGTTATTTATCTCACGCTGTTTGAACTGTTGGCATAGGCAAAAAATAATAAAAATATGCTTTTTTGTGCTTTCTTGTAATCGTCGAAAATTACCGCAATCAACATGAGTTTGTTCTCTCTTTTTTGGCATCGAAAGCTCAAAAACTTTTAATCAATTTTTATCGATGAAAGTTTTTCCTTTCGATAGCAATTTTTCAATCCCTTGTGGCAGTTTTCCTTTATTTTGTGTCAAACGAGATGAGACAAAAGTAAGATTCGTCTCCTTGTTGTCATCGTTAAAAATTGACAAACTGTGAAAAGTTTTGCAATGTTTTTTTTCTTCTTGTTTTGTGGAAGACGATCAAGACGAAACAACGAACACCGTAAGCAAAAGTTGTCTCATGTTTACTGAAGCTTCATATTTATTGACTTGCTTGCAAATTACACTCATATCAAACATTCTAACATGTATCTAAGCTAATATTTTCATCGCCATCATACTCATGTGTCGTGTCGTAAACACGATAAAGACGACGACTGAGATTATTTTACATCTTTTCATCTCAAAATTTAAGATAACTTTATGAATATTTCTTATTTAATCATTAGAATGTTGCTAACTTCCAATGAATAGAAGAAAAAAAAGTTTCTAAAAGCTTTCGACATCTCTTGAAATTTCACAAAAAAAACTTGCATAGCGCGCTATTAATTGATAAGCAAAATCAGAGCGCTTGCACTTGAGAGAAGTTAATGGAAAGTTTAAAAATAAGTATCAGTAGATGAAGAAAGAAACTTTCATTCTTACAAAATCTTTTCAATTCTTAACCCCATAATAATGCATGTTGAAAATTTTATGAAATAACGAAAAATATTTACAAAGATTTCTTCGCTCCTTTTCAAGTGGAAGCGTGAAAACTTTTAAATGAAGTCATAGGAAAATAAAATTAAAATATGTAGATAATTAGATAAGAGAAATTCAAGAAATTGTATCATTTTGTGAGAAAGCTTAGAAATTTTCCTTGAATGAAGCACATGAATTTTTATTAAAGTAAACGCCTTTTTTAGCTTAAAGTTTTCCCTTCTCTTCCTTGTTATGTCTGTTCACAAATTCTTTTATCTGTCATTTTTTAATAATAAAGAATGAAAAATCTAGTGGAAAATTATCATTATTTTTTTTATTCAACACAAAATGAAATTTTGATGAGAAAAGTTGAAAATGTTTTAGTAAATAATTAAACAGAAACTAACGGAAATTTAAATAAAAAAGCTTTTATAATAAAACAAAAAAAAATAATAAAGATTATGTGAAAGGAGATGCGAGAAAATATATTATAATTAACATAATAATTATAAATAAAGCACAGATACATGAGTTAGTTATTAAAAATACTTTCATGATATCTCGTACAATCAAAGAGTTTCAAAATAGTATTTCATGTTATTATTGCTGATGACTTTTGCCATTAAACTTATTTATATTTTTATCCATTTTCATATCAATTGAGCCAGAAAAAAATTAAAACAAATTGTTAAAAGCATAAAAAGTTTTTCGTATCAATAAACAAAGTCAGAAACATTGTAAATTGTTGTTCTTATGTATGCATGCTTTAAAATTTATTTTCCAGTCAACACTGTTGACCCAAAACCACGAAAAATTTCTTTATAATTTTCAATATTTGTTCCAGAATAGTTTAAATTAATTAAATTTCACTCAACATGTTCAACATGATTTTTAATTGAATCTTTTTTTTTCATTTTAAGTAGAAAATAATTAAAAACTTAAGTACATTAATTGAAAAATTAAAAGCTTCTGAGAGACTGACGACATATGAGTGAACGGATCATTTTATTCCTAGAGGAATTACAGTTTCAAATGTGAATCTTATTCTGGTCGATTGTGCAATGAAACAGTCTAATGTAAGAAAGATTAGTGAGACTGTAGAGACTATTGAAAGTCAGTTTTATCATTGGAGTTACAAAACTCCTACAGTTTGTTAAATTTTAATTGATAACTCTGTATGTAGCAATTTGTAGATGAAAGAGATTCAATTTACTCGAAACCTCAGTCATTTCATGAATGCAATGCAGATCCAGATGAATTACATTCAATTTGTTTCATTGTGCTTTATAAAAAAGGAATTTGTTCTGTATAAATCACATTTTTCACCACCACATACAATTTTATATTACGACAAAAATGTAATAAATAATTAAAACAACATTTGTGATTAAAACTGATGAGAATATGAATTTTCAAAAGGAGAAAGTTTACTCTCGAATGAGAATAAGGTTGATGAAAATTTTATAACTTTTATCGCTTTAATATTTCATCGTGTGTGCCATTTCATATCTCTGTAAGAAGAAGATCGAGAAGCTGGGAAAAGATGAAAATTGATTTTTCCATAACCTCGTTTAATTCTGAAATATCCAATCGACCTCATTGCTAATGTAAAATATTCTCAAGCTTGTTGATGCTTTTCTCGAGAAAATGAAAAAGTTTTCTAAGAAATGCAATTCGAGTATTGGGAAAAGCAAGAAATTAAAAATCTCACAATGAAAATATTGATTTTATTAATTTACGATTCAAATTTTATGGGAAGAAATATTATAAAGCTCTGATGGTTATTGTATGAATATTTATGAATTGTTCATTTTTATTTACTTAAAATTGTTGACATCTGACATTTTCTCATTGAATCAGTTCCACCAGTTGTGTACTTTTAACAAAAAAAATATTGGCATGATTGATGAAAATCTCATGAATCAATAAGAAATGGAAATTTCAATTTGTGCAAAAATCACATAATTTTTTTTAGAAACAATTCAGTTGCAATATTTCAGTCAACATGTAAACTTTAAATCTCTGTGAAGCCATTAAAAAAATAACAAGGAACCAGCAATTTTCATATCAACACAATTGATTTTGTGGATCTCTTTAACATGGAGAATTGAGTCAGCACTTATTTGAGAATAAAATTCGGTAAGTCTTGGGTTTTGCAATTCCTTAAGGGTATTAAAAAATCGACATCGTAATTCCATAAAATCAATCAACATCGACCCATAAAAGTCAAAATAATCATAAGCTGTGAACAAGACTTTTTACTCAATGTTAGTATCAATAAAAAGAAATGAATTATTCGGGGAGATTTTTTTCTGTTGCCTCATATAATATATCACGTCGCAAGGGAAAGAAATTTTCTTTCTAAGTATGTGACGCTGATATCATCATTGGCAACAATTCAGGAGTCAAAAGGCTGTTTAATGTCTATCAAAGTTGAATATCAAGAAGTTAACTTAATTACGTCTAATGTTGAAAGTTAAGAAATTTTCTCCTGAAGTTGATGTAATTCCGCTTGTTATTTATGTGAGAAAAAAAATTGAATCATTCGCATTCATCAGTTTGTCATATTAATAAAGTTGTGAAACGTGAAATAATTGTGGTGCTTGTTGACAAAAATATTTTTTTTGATAGAAAGTTTTCTTGATCATTTTTTAAGAAGGAAAATATTTACAGTGGAGATAATAAAATATCTAATAATGTATATTTATTAAAAAAGGAAAAAGATATTCATACTTATAATGAATGAAGAATAATTTTTCTCGTGATTTCTATCAAAAAATAAAACTAAATTTTTGTTGAAAGAGTTTTTATTATTCAGCAGAATTTTGAGTAACATGTCAACTTTGTAGTGTGACAGCGGAAACATTTTGCAAGAGAAAAAAGCTTTTTTATTTGATATTCTCAATAATTTACACCTCTCACGATAAAAAGTTTTGAGATTTGAAATATAGCGACAATATCGCGCCACTTCATGACTCCATCCGTAGTACATATTTGAAAGCTGAATTTGTATGTTTGCTTTCCCGTTCCTGTTCATGATGTCGGGAATCCTTTTTTTTCATATTGTTACACTACATGCTTTGCTCAGCAAACGCTAACATTCTAAATAATTGATGATGACAAAATATATGATGCTGATGTTCGTTTTTTTATCTATTCCTAAAAGGAGAAACGGCGAAAATACTTTTTTTTGTTGTTTCACATGACTTGGTAGAGGCATCAGAAGAAAGCGTTGAAAAGCGGAAAAACATAAACTTTCGACAATAAAAATAATAAATGTTCATATTTTCTGTTGAAATTTTCGTCGACGATAGAAGAAGCCAAGACGCGCAATACCAAACAACGCTTTTGTTGAAAAAGAAGACAAAATAAAACAAAAAAAAAATGTGTAAACGAGAGAATGTTGTGGCTTAATTTAGATTGCTGGTTTCGTTAAAGGATAAAGTCATTACTTGTTCATTCTAAGCGAAATTAAAGAGCCGTGAAATTATGACTTGAAGTTCTTCATTCATTGTTAAATCTCTGCGAGGGTTTTCAAGTTTGACACTTTCATGAAGCAAAATAATGGGAGAATATTAACATGGAGTGCTTTTAAACGTCTGTGAGGAAAATTTGAACACATGTAAAGTCATTTGAGCTTGAAACTGGAAACACAAAGAAAAGAAATTTCGAATAAAGGAAGAAAAATTCTTCATGTGTCGTGTTTATGAGAAATTTTCTTCATGCACAATGCGACCATAAAATTTCTCTCAAAAGACTTTCGTTCTCTGCCTTGTTATTATGAACTCAAACAAAAGATTCGGTATAATTTTACAAACCTTTATGTTTGCAAATTTTTAATGAGTCTACATACTTTGATCAAAATTTAAAGGATGACAAAAAGTTTTCCAATTAATGTAAGTTGTGCTTTAGGAACCATAAACCTATTAAAGCTTTCCGGGTTCTCTTTATTTCCATCTTGACTTTGTTTTTTCAAAAATAAATAACTCGAATTTCACTTGTTGAACTTTTAAAGAATCATTCGACGTTGAGATTCTCTGGGAACGAGTGAAAAAGGTTCCTTGAAAAATAACATAGAGAGAAAGAAAGTTTTAACATACATACGTCATGATGTAAGATGCTCGATGTTGCAAACCTTTTCTTATATTTCTTATTTTTACTAAAGCTTTACTTTTATTTTGATTTGTGTTGGCTTTTAAAGTCTCAACAGATTAAATAGGAAACTTCGAGTCGAGAAAAGATTTTTAGGGTTTGTTGTGAAGGCGTTATAAACCTTCGGGTTTCTCTCAAATAAATCATGTGCTCTTTAAACACCTAATCACTTGCAGACACTTTGTTTTATCCCCAATAAAGGCAACCACTTGAAGCTCTCATAAATTTTCGGTGTGCTTCATTAAAATGCATGGAATTTGGGTCTGTTTTCGTTATTTTTTTTCTCTCTTTCTGTGTTTTAAATATTCTAAACAAATTTTTATTTCATGGTTTCAAAAATTAATGCATACACATGCGAGCAGAAAGATCGTTATTCCAGTCACCGTGAATGTGATTTAGAACTAATTTTCGTAGCTTTATATGTTCTTTTTATGGTACTTCATGAGCATCTTTTTGTCATTTGCTTTTATGGTTCACAAGCACTGTTATCTTTTTTATTACATAAATTTCGTCTTATAATGATCAAGAATTATTTAATAAAGCATAAAGCGTGTCAAGAAGTTTTCAAACATTTCTCAAATTGTCAATATTTTATAATATTTTTCTGAGAAGGTTTACTAGGAAGGATTTGCTAAATAAGACAGTTGACTTACGGCGTAAATATATTAAAATACCATTAGGATAAAGGTAAACAAAATATCTTTAAATAAATACTTTGCAAGAAACCTTTTAATGGACATCTTTTCATATTCCTTGACATCTCTTATGAAGCTTAATTTGAAAAAAGTGCCATTAAAATGACGTTGTCTTGACATATCTTAAATACGACTTTTCTTGTCATTGAATAAACTTCAATTTAATGAAATGTAACAAGCCATTTTTTTCATGAAATTAATGAATAAATCGAAATGAAAAGATTTCATCAGTCCGTACTTTGAAATTGTGAATGGATCGAAGAAGTTTTAATTGCAAAACTATGTTAAAAAACTTCCAGACATTTATTTAACGATCTTACAATGTTATTGAAGCATAATTTCAAGCTTTCTTAATTTATATCAAATTATGACTGACATTTTTTTCATTCCAAGAAAATCAAAAATGTAATTGCAAATAAATTGTTTCAATTAAGATTATGTATTATAATGTTGAAGAAAGTATTTTCATAGAATGTTCGTAACATTGCAAAATAAATTTTCTATATAAATTATATTCTTCGGTGAACTTTCAATGACATTTTCATTTATCGTTTCACGAGAAGCAACTGATAAATTCGAGAAAGTTCAAGTTTCGTTTAAGTTTCAATAGAAATTGAAAATAAAATAAAAAAATGTAGTATAATAATTACATTTATTTCTTTTCCCATCGCTTTTCCTTCTGCAATTTTTTTTTCATAATCCGTTCAATGCCAACAACTTTCTACATTAATTATCTAAAATGTCTCGTGTTCATAATACTTTTCATTATTATTTAAATGTTGTTGTAATTCTCAAGTCTTCTTCAGATAGATTCAAATGAATATTCCATTTTTCTTTTTCAAATTAAGTTCAACAACAGCAAAAGCAATGAAAGATAAAGTTTTCGTTCTATGTCGTTATGTTTTCTTCTGTCACAATATCTAGCCCTCGACGCAAGCGAGAAAAGATACAAAAAAAACTGAAAACAGAAAGACTTGAGAGAACGAATGGATTGTTGAACAACATGAAAAATGTTTGCATGCAAAAAAAAATGGAAATTCATGATGGGAAATTTGTTCTCATAATGACCGAAACTAATTTTCAGAGATTTATTTTTCTATTGTGAAGCGAAGTGAAAAATAAAAGTGGCGGATTATGAAAGAGGAAATGTTATTTAATTACACTTGAACTTCAGTTGAATAACTGAATAAGAAGGAAGAAGTCACGTCTTATAAAATGTTTTTAATGCTCCACTAGAAATAAGTTTGTTTGGAAAATATGAGAAAGCTTTAATTTAATCTTCGCTGATTCAAAAAGATTCTTTGAACATATCAAACAATTTAAAAAGTTTTCATTCCTTCCGCTAAGATTTATGAAATTTAAGAAGGCAATCAAATAAGAAGATGAAGCGTAAATTTTGAAGGCTGTCTAAAGATCTTCCACCATGATTACGGCTAATATTTATTTATAAAAAGATTTATTAGGGAAAGTTAATTTTTGATAAGCACATAATACTTTATATCCCGAATCTTCATCAAACACATGGCGGAGTAATATCTCTTGACTTTGAAACTTTTTTCCGTCCCTTAAACGAGCAACTGGTGGCTGGATAGGCTAAAGCTGGGACTAAGAAGAAGTTGTTATGAACTTTATTTAACTTTCGTCGTTTATTTACCTTTTTTTCTTCCGTAGGTCGACGTTTCTTTCGCACGATTGATGTTTATTAGCGTACCATTTGTCATCTATTTCACTGCCATTCAACATTCTAAATGACCAAGAAAATGAAGCGAAGAAAATAAATGAAAATCCATTGTCATGTAAATTTTTTTTACTTTTTCTTCTGTTTTGATTTATAAGATCGTTTTACTTTGCCAACCTTACTTTCATTTATGTGTTTATTCTTATTTTTACTCTGTTTCCCTTATTTTCTCTCCTAGTTCTTGATATGGCAATATGCTGATGATGCCATTATAGAACTTTTCCACTGTTGTTTGTTGCTTTTGTAAGTGTGTTGAACATTAGCAACAAACAGTTTCAACAACAAAAGAAAAAGAGAAGAAAATTCCAAGTCGTGATTCATGAGCAATAAGGAAAAACTTTTCCATTCTCTTTTTTCATCCTTAATCGTCCCACGACAGCCCATAGCAGAATTGTTTTCTTTCGGTGAATATTTGCTGTTGCAAGCACATAGAAAACAGCTCCAATACACATATAAAGTTGGGAAACTAAGGCGACTTTATGGAGCGGAACCGATTTAGCTCGTAGAGTCAAAAGTAATTTATTTCTGTTGTTGCTGACTTACGTAAAGATAGTTTTTCATTTCATGATCTTATCCATGAGTTGTGTTTGTGTACGTGTGCGTGTGGATATTGAATGGATGAATTAGTAGACATTGATGGGTTAATGCTTTCGCTCTTATTTCAATGACACTCCTTCGATTCGAGTAAAGAGTGAAAGAGTTGATATTGCTGATAGTTCGTTCTAGCCTCAAATGAGCTGTGACTCGATTCGGAATCATGTGAATCCAATAATCCCTGAATGTCAATTGATTATCCGATCAAAGTGGCTTTGCTTTTTCTTCCCGTCGTCGTAGTAGTGACGAAAATTTTGCTCACACTTTTTCCACCTCACATCATTCACCCGGTTAGGGTTGTCACAGATGTTTCCAATATGAAATTGATTAAATCAAGAAAATTTAAAAGTAGGCCTGGGAAAATGTTGCATAAGTAGAATAGATAAATTTTGAGAAATGTGAAAGCTTGTTGGGAAATTAGAAGAAATTCAATAAGAATGAACGATGACTGTTGAGTAAAATATTAAATATCTTTGAATAAAGCACGATGGTAATCTAAGTTGTTGCAAGTGAAGGAAAAATCCTTTTACCATTTTAGTAGCGTGCTTTACCATGCATAGAATCAATCTGTTTGAGAAGCTTCCCGAGGGCGAACTTCAATTTATTTATTGGTCGCAAAAGCCTTTTTTTTCTTCATCCCACGTTTGCTGTTTTAGCAATATTTTTAATGAAATAAAATATCGAGATTAAGTGACAAGCAAATCATTTATCGCAAGCTTATAGCTTTGATTTATAATGTCGACAACAAAGTTCAACTTTTGCATGAGTTGTTCTTGAATCTGATGAAAAAGTTTTCAGTCTTAAATCTCAAACGTCTATGACGTGATTGCTTTTATCATTTCATTTCTTCAACACTCGCTTTCAAACAAAAATATTTCACCAAATATTTCTAGTTATTCATCATTCAACATTTTCACCGAAGCTTCGGTGAAGAAAAGCTTTCATCGTTGCTGTCATTTCAAAATATTTTCTACATCGAATGAGAAATGAAAATTTTTCCCTTTTCTTTCAAAAGAATTTCTTGAAATCATTTTTCAAACCTCCCACATACCTGTTTGATAAGAAATAATGTTGAATGATCAAAATAATTTACGTGAAAAGTTCGAGATGAAAATTATTTCACGCATCTTCTAAATCGGATTTGATGATAAAGCGAAATGAATGCAAAGCTTTTGTACAAAATATGCCCATAACGACCATCAAAAGAGTTTAATACGATGAATATCTTTAAGTCAGCAGAAAATCTTAAGTTTTGATCATCATTCTTAAAATTATTTCAAAGCAAATGATTAAAATAACAAAAAGGAAAGTAGAAAAGCGAAAGTAAAGATATTTATCTTGTGAAGACTGCTTCGGCACCCGGAATCTTTTCAGTATGATGAGGCTCAGCCAAATGGAAATTTAAAGTTATAATCCTCACCTTATACCAAAGGTATAATTAAAATTTAATTGCCCTCTAGGGAGAGTCTCGTGAGTTAATGAAATAAAATGGTAATGTGAAGCCATTCCGGATATTTATGATCGTTTCACTAAACATCATATACTCAAACTTTGAGCCCATCTCGCACATAAAAACCCAGGAACAATTTAACAAAATGTTAAATGAAATGAAAAACTTTCACATTGTTGAAGGCTTTATTACGCTTCTGAAAAACTTTTACCTTTAACATCAGTAGATATAGCTGAAGATACTTTCGACCGGGCTCACCCGCTTCTTCAAGATTTCATCTCACGTGTTTTGCGTACCTTTTCGCTCTTTTTTTAAGCATTGGAAATTTTTGTCATAGATACTTAGAGGAAGAAAAAGGCTCACTTGACTCAACTACGTATTATGCTTCGTCAAACTTTTTATAAGCACGGCTACAAATCATGCATATATGATGGCAAGAAATCTTTTTACATGATTGAACTACATACATGGTTGGGAAATTCTCTTAATAAATTTAACCTCTTTCTGAACAGCCTTCGAGGAAACATGAAAAAGAATGAAAATTTACCTTCGGAAATTGTGAAATGAACTTGCACGAAGGTTGTTATTGAGATGAGTCGAGATTATTTGTTATAGATCAACGTTTTTCAGCGAAATTGATATCAAATTAAAATCATTCAACATTAAAGATATTTCCTCAGAATCAGATCGTAATCTTCAACCCATTTTCATCATTTTAAATTAATGAAAGCCAACAATAACATTGATGTTCCTAAATGATTTCAAATGGAAACCATAAATTTTAATTAATATGAGTTTTCGAATAATTATAAAGTTTAAGTAATCAAAAAGATAAAAACATGAAGAGATGTTTTGGTTTCGTCGACCTTCACAAATCAGTTAAAGCTGACTAAGTGTCAATTATTTTAACCAATTTATAACCTCAGGATCGTTAAATCGGACCCGATTGTAACTTAACATAACTAGTGAGGTTAATTTTATGGCGCTTTACCATTAATGATCTGGCTTAAATTATGCTAAAGAAGCTTTATGTGGTTTTCCACAGAAAACACTTAAATGGATTACTTGGGAAATTAGACAAAACAATGAATTTAATGGTGTGACAGATGCCCACGCAATATCAGATATTCTGTGATGAGTTTCATCTGAAATGGATGAATGAAGTTCATTAATAATGAAAACAGAACCTTTAAGTGTTAACGTCTTAGCTGTCCATCCCCTTACATTAAATAAGTTTGATCGAAATTCAGCTTTCATCCACATCTCGGTCAAACATAAATCGATACAAGAATAGATTGGGCAATTTATCAAGTTGTAAGATTTTTCAGATGCTCTGATATGCTCAAGGAACAAGGCAAATTGGCAGCATTCAACATACTCTATTAATGTTCAATCATTTAATCAAAAAAAAAAAGGAAAGGGAAATCTATTGAGAAACAGAGAAATAAATAATGAATATTATTCATCATTTACATTCCCGTCATATCTTCTGAGCAAAGATGGCATCCGTCGAGTATTTAAATTGAAAATCTCTCAGATTTACATAAATTTAGCAAAACAAAAAATAAAGGAAAAGGAAAGATTTATTTTCTTATGAGTTTTACAGCACATCTGTAATGATGTTGCTGACGAAAAGCGGAGGAGACGAAAATCTGGCACGTGAAAAAGATTTTTTCCTCTTTTTCTCTCATCATGGTTCAGTTGGATTCTGGATATTGATTGAATGATTGATGATACCAACGACAGCTTTAAAATATTCTTCCCACTTAGGTTTCAAGCCCTTCAGCTTTGTTTTTCTTAAAATATGTTTGACGGTAACTGATTCTTCTTTTTATTTCTCATGCAATCTCAAACTATTAACCTGCCTGCTGGATAAATAAGAAATAATCGAAGGATTAAATAAGTATCGGGTTATGTTAAATTTTAGATAACACAAGCAGGGTGGAATAAGCTTTAAAGAAGATTAAGTTGATTGTCGGAAGGAAGAACCCTTTTTTTTATTTTCCTTCTTTGAAGGTTCCAATTTTCTCAATGGATTACCTTCGAATGAAGTGAAAGTCGAAAACTCTTGTACACGACTTCACATACACACATGATGGATGTTTAAGATACGCCAGCAATTCTGAGTTTCAAGAGTATCAACTTAAGGAGAATGACTTCATTAAAATGGTATTTTTTTTAAAAAAAATTATTTATAAATTCTTCAATGCGGCTTTTTCGATATTTATTTTAGATATCTATTCGAACGTTGTTGATAGGCATCAAAAGTTCACAACCAAGCTTTTATATTTTTTGAAACGATTGTTGTTTCAGAAAGATTTAACAATAAAGACAAGAAAGTTAAGCTATGAGAGAAAGAAGTTGAATTTCAATTGAAAGTGATTTATTTTAACTCATTATTCATGTTTCTATTTTCCTACGTATCAACAGGGGAAATGGCTTGATTTCTGTACTTAGCGAGTTAGCGAGACGACAGGGAATTTAATGATTAACTTATTTCCTTCGTGATGCTCACTAACGAATATTTGATTTATTGCATGTTGAAGACGAAAATTCTTTTGGCGATATTAATTTCTAAAGATGGAGAAGAATAATTTCTCAATTTTCATCTTTCGCTGAATATCTGCTTTCTTCGTCTGTAGACTACGCTGAGAGTTTATCGAATAAGTTCAAAACAGATGGTTTTAGATTAATTCATGCTTAAAACTTAAAGTCGTAAAGAAACAGCTGAAGCTCTAAGGAATAAAGAAATTAACAAATAAATGCTGTTAGTGACATTCTTCTGAACTCAAAGATATTCGCGACACTTTTTGGTAATGGAAAAAAGTCCTAGCAAGTAACGATAAATGTTCTCCCTTCTCAGATGATGTAGATGAGTGAATTGTTACTCAGATTGAAAGTACCCAAAAGGGAAATCTCTGAAAAAAATTACAAGAAAATATTTCTTTTTCTTCGTATGACTTTTAAACTTTTTTGCGAGACAAAAGGTCGAAGTTTGTTCAGATGAAATTCCATAAACAGGTGGATAAGCTTTAAACTAACTTTTAGATGAAGCGAAAGCGTGAGGCTTACATTTTATCTCCCAAAAATCATTTAAGGAAAATCTTTCATTTTTCACGGAAAACAGAAAAATTGTTTCATTGTGAGACAGCAGAAAAAATCTTTTTCAACGCTTCTAGATCGTTTTCCATTTCTCGATAACGGAAAAGTTAAATGAGAAAATGTTTTCGGTACTTTTTAATGAAGTTTCAATTATTTTACTTTTTGGTTGCTATTTTTTCCGTTTCCGTTTTCTTTTGAGTTTTAGTCAGGCGAAAAGTTGCTCTCAAAATATTCCCCAATTGGACGCATGACGAATTTTATTTTATTTTTTTCTTCTACATAAATTAAAGTAAATTCCAATGAAGCAAAAGTTTTAATTTTAATTTCATGCTTGTTATTTGTTATTTATGTTGAGAAAGAATTTTCTTTTGATTATATCAGGTATTTGAGATCAAAGAAAATACCTGAATAACTATGACAAAGATAATTGGAAGGTCAGTGAGCTTTTCTCAACTGATCTCATATAAAATTCAATTATTATGCTGTTATCTTCATGTTTGTTTCATAAATTTGAAAATATATTTCTTTATGCTTCAAAACTTTTTCCGACCTTCTATAAAAATATTTCTATATAGAAAAATATTGAAGGCATACTTAACAGTCTTTTCATTTTCTTCCCTTTCGGTTGTATATCATCAAGTCTCTATAGGATTATTTTATTTAGCATTTAGTGAATGTTATCTTGAAAATTTCTTTTGTTTAAGAAGTGCATCAAAGAAGGAATTTTCCTTCCACAATGTAGATGATGATGATGATGGTGAAGTTTTCTTCATTTTATAAAATGTTGTAAGCATAAGATAAGAAAGAAAATTTAATCTAAGAATGAATAAAAGAAAAATTTCCAACGGAAAAGTGTAAAAAGAATGATTCCGAGGAAAGCTGAATTCACTTTAGAATGTCCAAAATAGTTTCCAGTACATTTCATCAAGCTAAACGGAGTAGCGAATCGAAGACGGAAACGTTGGATGAACTTTCAACTAAAAACTTTTACAGGAACCTTCGAGCGATAGTTCAACCTTAACGGAAGTTATGGAAATTGAATTTTCGATGATGTCTCAAGCAAAGCTTCTGCTACTTACTTCATCCGATGTCATTAAGGACTGAGCTAAAAGTTTTCCTTTTTCTTTTAAAGAAAAGCTTATCTTCCCTTTATGATACCTAAGAAGGAACATGAAAATTACTTGACATTGATTCAACATAGTTAATCAAAACAACAAAAAATTATCTTACTAGAAATAAGAAATCTAAAATTTTCATTGACCACAAGTTGTAAAATCTTGACTGGATTTTTTTCTTTCTGTGGGGAGTGAAACCAACTGACAATTGCACAATTTTGTGTCATGTACACATGTCTGTTAACAACAAAGCATAGATAAAGCTGTTCGTCCGAGAAAACTAACCCTTTTCAAAATATGATGAACATTTTATCATAGGAAATAAATTCAAATTGTTTCTTATTCTATTGCACTTGAGGGAATCATAAATCTTCCTTCTGATTTCATTTTGATCGTTCAATCGTATAAACAGAATTTTAATTTAAATCTTTTTTTTCTTTTGACGACAACTTGGTAAAGTTTCATTCTGAGAATCTTGTTAGATAGGACATAAATTTGTATTGACATTTTCCTTATGTACGTTGATCTCAATTGATTTGCTTTGGGCAGATTACATTATTAAATCCAACAGTAGCCAAATATCTTTTGCAAATCAAATCTTTCAAATTTATTGCATGTGCATTAAACTTTTAATAGAAATTCACTACACAAAAGTAAAGAAGAATTAATTTTTAAGTTTAAACTTTATAAGCTTAAAGACAAACCAAGTGCAGTTTAAATAGCACAATATGTTCAAGTATGAATATCCTAATGCAGTTTACGTGTTTTATTTGCTTGAAACCACTCGTAAGACTTTATTTTCATGTAAAGTAAAGAAAGAAAGCAAGGAAACAAAACAAAAATCCTTCCCCAAGCGCGCTGTAAAAATGTAACGAGGGAATTTTTATTACTTAAAAGTGTTGTAGCTTTTCTTATGTTTACGGAGATTTGAAAGCTGGTACAGAAACTCTTTTCAGTAATTACACATTTCAAAGATTCTCTCTCTCTCTCTCTCTTAAAAGACGATGGAAATAACATACAAAATTGTGGTGCTCTGCTATTCATTTAAGCTGAATATAACAATGTTCGAGGTTACCCAACAGGAATTCCTAAAAGAACTTACTCGAACATTTTTTCCTATAGAGAGAAGGAGAGAATTAAATTTTTTTTAATGTAAAACCGAATAGAGAATTTTCGAATTTAATTTCGTAATTTTATTTTTGTTGAATTTCACAATAGCTTCCGGGTCTATGTTTCAACTTGAAATACTGAAATAGTTTGACACAAATAAGAGAAGTGCGAGGCATGTTTCTATTACTTTCTTCGACCCGAATACATTTCCATTGATTAAATGTACCCTCAATCCTTATCGAAATCAAAATCCATCAATGCTATTGTACAACATATATTTTGGAAATTCTTTCATTTCCTAAGTAAGCATTAAATAATGAGCTTTTATAAATGAAATCAACTTTTGTTATTTCATTTTCAATCTTTTCTTTCACTCAATATGATATGAAAAGAGTTTTCTTTTTTCTAAAAAATTCTTATTTCCTTAATAATCTGTAAAGTATTCAAAAAGTATTTCATTTAAACCTTTGTCGTCACCATTTCACTAAACCTTTTTGTATGTTAAAGGGAAGCGTAGTTTTACATCATTCGATGAAGGCAAACGTTTGAGGTCAAGTTAGCACAAAGAAAAATAAATCAAAAGCTCTAGTGAAAGTGATTGAAATGGACAGCAGCAATAGATTCACATGAAACGTTCACCCTTTCAGCATTAAAAAAGAATTCCTGAAATTTTTCACAACATTCCTCTTTCAAGTGATTTTTTCTTTTCTTGAATAGTTTTTGAATGTTTTTTATCCTTTTTTGTCAGAGTTCTCATGATTTATTTTCGTTTTATTTTTTAATATTTTTTAAGAAAAAAACACAAAAACCATCAAAATTGACTTTAGAAGCTTATTTATCAGGGAATAAAACCACCCACGCAGAATTATAAACTTTACGGTTGAAAAATGTTTCATTAATGTGATTCCTTCGAGATTGAACAAATAAAAATGAGAAAAAGGAAGAAAAATAAAATACATTGAACATCGACGAAATGCTGTTCAGTTCAAAATCTGTTCACCTTCAGGGTACAAAATTCGATACAATTTATTTTATGTTGCGACGCGAATAATACATAAATTATGAGCGCAGGCAGAAGATGAGAACGAGGAAAAAAAATATACAAACTTCCATTCTCATCCTCGACAATATTTGCAGATTGAAAATAATAATGTTCAATGGAGTCACGAATATATTTTCTTCAATACTCTTTTTTATTTTTTTCTCACAACATTCAATATCAAAAAATATTCGCCTTCCTTATTCTCTGGAAAACATTTTTCTGATTATAGTTGGTATCGCAAAGAAAATGAGAAATTACAGACTGAAAAATTTAATCCATCTTACAGGCGATGATAGAAAATGGCGATGGGTGGAATATGGCGTGTGTAGTGAGTGGCAGTGCAAGAGCAAGGAAATGGCAAGGAATTATTGTTGGAGATTTATGACTTCTCCCAATGAAGAACGTTAATCATGGATACATCATAGCTTTCGTTCTCCTTCTTTCATCTTTTTTATTTCAGTCTTTCTTTTTCTTCCGGCTGCTCCTGGCATTTGTGTTCAACTGACTGTGTGTTGTGCATGTCCCGACGAGAAGTAATGCTTTACGTTGAGGTGAAAATCATAATTCATCGGCTTCCTTTTAATACAAATGGTACAGTAATTTTTCATGGACTTTCATTAATGTTTGTATAAAAACTTATCCGTTATTATTATTAAAATATAATTTCTTTTTACGATTTTCCGTTTCCTTAGCTTCGTTCATTTCATCAGGGATTTGGGAGCCAAATGAATGTCTTTGCGTTAGAGAGCTTGACAGAATTTCGTAAATTAATAAATTTGAAGCTTTGAAGTGAAATGAGATTATTTTCGGGAAATTCAAAAGTTATGAATTATTATGTTGATCCTTTTTTTTCTTTTGTCTTACGATGTTAGAGGATGCGGTATTAAATTTTTTTATGGAAAGCAAATGTTAGCTGAAAATTTTACGATATTTTCCAAGAGCTTTTCTTTGTTTTTACGTTCGCGAATTTAACTTCACTGCATTCGTTAAAATAATTAGAGAAAGGTCGTAAGATAACAACATGCGGCCAGGAATTTTTAACAACATCATCATCATGCTTATAAGTAAGTACGGCCAAGAGATTTGAAGGGTCTTGATTTTGAAGTGTTGTTAGGATTATGAATGGGCACATTGAGGCTTTAAATCTAGCAGGTGAATATCTATTTTCTTAGATAGCATATTTTATTCATGACTTAACATTATTAGATAATCCATTTTAGTCTCTTCATTAATAAATAAATCTACTATTGAATTAAATTAAATTTAAGGATTGTCCTTAGTAAGGAAATTAAACGCTTAAAAAAAATTATCGACAATTCCGGTTTAAAATGTATAAAGCAACTCGACTACAACTTTCCGATTACGTTTCATGATTAATAAATTATGAAAGATTTGTTGGGGAAACTTTTCGGCTTAATCATTTAGATTTTCTTCGTTCTCTTTTCTCTCCTGTTTGCGTTGAGTAGAAAAAAAATCATAATTTTCGATACCGAAACAGGAAAAATGTTACAGAAACAAACAAACAAACAAATAAACAACTGATGAGTTTTCTTTTTCATTCTTACAAACGTAAATGAGAAAATTAATAGCAATGATATAATACAAATTGATAATGATTATCGAAATATATCGTTAACAATTTTGGATTAATTGGAGTTTTTTGGGGCATAAAAATTATTTAGTTTGTTAGATAAATATACGAAAAATATGGCATTGATTTAATGTTCCTTGGTTACTGTTGAAGTATAACAAGTGGCTGGTAATAATAAGGAAATAACATTATATATAGCGTTCTGAATGTTCATCCAATTGAATAAATACATAAAAGGGATATAAGAGAATAAGAATTGCTTTTTATTTGTTCCTACGTTTTCCTGTTCATTTGTTTTTCGTGTGACATCAGCCTTGAGAAAGAGCGAAATGGATTTGGATCTGCTTCATGGTCAGATTACTTGGGCTTGCAAAAGTTTTCATGCATTAAATGAGAGCTGTTCTTGAGGTTTTCAACATTCTTTAGAAAACATGAAATTTGATTTTTTTTTTGGTAATTTTCCGTTGGAATTCGTCGAGCATCAAAGAAAGTAAAAAAGAAAAGTTTTCTGGCCACTTGGAGACAAACTCAATTTCTTGAATATTTGCTTAAACGACTTTTATTATGAAAATAAAATTATTTTCCGGGGAAAATTAAATTTGCATAGTTGAATTCTTTTTTACACCACAGCAAAATTGTTTTGTCTTTTGATATTTATTTTCCTTAATCTTTTTTTGTCTGTTGTATGAAAACAAAGTGTTTCAGTTTTCATTATAAGAAAACTTTGTGAAATTCTTTGATTCTTGTCTTACAAGAAAATGCAAGCAAAAAGTGTTAGAAAAGTAAAAGAAGGGAAAACGGAAATATGCAATTAGAATGTTTTATATGAATAAGCAATGAAAGAAAAGCATTGGAATGTTAAATAAAGCAATTAAGGAAATGCATGAAATTCCTTTCATTTTTTAGTTTTTCATTTACTGCAATCTTTGACTCAATGATTGAATAGAAATTTCTTTATAAAAACTTTTCGCTTGAAAGTTTCTGCAATGTTATGAAATATAAAATAATAAAACGTTCAGTTTTCATATCATTTCTTGATAAGTGATCTAAGAACATATGAATGTAATATCAATAAGAATGTAATATCGATCCCTCATAATTTATATCACAAGAGAAGTGGAAAAAACGGAAAAACAAAAATCATTATTAGAAGTAATCTAATAACATAGTTTCCAGCTGATACTCTAACATGTGTAATAGCAGAGAGTATGAGGATAATGAGTAGAAATTGTTTATGTAATTAATGATATTTATGTGGTGTAAATGAATACAATGATGATTGCTATCATTCTCCGAATGTTAATGCGAACCTTTTGCAATCTTCTAGAATAATGAGAAGTAATCAAGCTGGAAAAGAACAATTACACTCAATAATTATAAGTTGAAAATACTTCTTTTTACTGTCGAAGTAGATAATGCAAATATTGATTTAATCAAAGCGAATTATTTTAAATCTTAAATCTTTTAACCCGGAGTTTAACGTTCTCTTTTCAAATTGATTCTCATTATTTTCAAACTTGAAAGTTTACTTACTTAAGATACAATCAATGCTATTTATATTAAGCTTTAAATGAATCAGAAACTAAGCTAATTTTATAAGTTCAAAAACTTTTTCCCTCCGACATAACAAAATAATTTTATTTGGTTTCATTTAAATGAAACAATTTTATATTAATTCATGTTGTGATACGCGTTAAACCTTGGAATTTTACTCCCAACTTTAAATTTACACTTCTAATATTTAATTTTTTCTATGTTAAAATTATTCAATACCTAGATTCGTACGTTTTCAAAGATTAATTAATTCCTAGGGAAGTCTTAATAAGTGGCAAGTTTAACGGTTTTTGAAATAGAAATGTGCTGCTAATTAAATTTACTTTACTCTAGGATTTTAAAAATAATAATTCAAGTTTTTAACTGTCCTTTGAGGATAAATACCTGAGGTTGATGTTCATTACAAATTCTCATTTGAGTTCAGTAATTAACATGCAGCTAATGTACACACAATTGTTGCATAGTTGAATGATTTTAATTGATGTTAATATTTATGAAATGTAATTAGTGTGATATTTATGAATTTGAATGTTATGTGTGAATATGTTTCAGTGAGCAACTAAGCAAATGTGCAATAAAACCTCAACAAATAAAATTACTCGATAATTTCAATTTTTATATACACCAAAAATTTAATAATTCCAACTGTGGCTGTTTCAAAAGATAAAAAAGAATTGGCTGTATCCATAAAGTATTTGATCCCTAATAAACATTGAAACCAAATTTATATTCTGAAAAGTTTAAAAAAATTGTTATTCTGGAATTCGGTTCACCAAGGCTTTTGTCAGTTCGACACTAGTTCCAAAACGATCTAATTCTGTTCACTGGTTGAAAAACATTTCACCACGAGATTTTTTAAAAGTCGTAATAAAATTATGCACTTTTAATGCGCCATTGAACACATTTGTAAAGCCAAAACTTGAACATGTTTTAAAAAATTGAAGTGAATGGTTAAAAAAATTTAATCCTTCGACTTTTCATACATATTTTCATGTTTGATCTGAATTTTTATGAGAAATTTTTTCTTATTTTTAACTCCTGAAAAAGAAGAACTTTGAATAAAATTCCAAATTTACATACTTTCATTTATATCCATTTATTTTCATCATATATTTACAATTTATTATGCAGTAGCACTCATTTATTTGCATCGTCTTTCAATCTATAAGTCATAAATATTCATTTTTCATAAAATTCCTAAATAAAGTTGTAAAAAATGTCCTTAACAGCTAGTCTTAGGTTTCAATTTTTTGAGTTTTATATTTTTCTTCTCCTTCCAACATTCTTCTTCCTTTCACTTTCGTATAAAACGGAGGATTGTTAACAACTAATAAATTTTATTTTCCATTAAGAACTAATATTCGTTTATCATTGAGATGGAGGAACAAAGAAAACTCATAAAACTTAAATTCGACTGAGAATTGTTATCATTAACTTTATGTGTTTGTAAACATCTTTTTTTTTACTTTTAATTTTTGTATCCTTTGTCTGTGCTTTAATTTATTGGTGCAAAAATAATGCTGCTTTTACTGAGATTCATTTAATATCTTAAGATACTTTTTATAGCCATTGAATTGAAGACTGTTTTTGCCATGAAAATAAAAACGAAAGGTTATTGAAGATTCAAAGACAATTTAATTCTCGTTATTTTAATTGCTTTCGTTTTTACTGACTTATTTTCTTTTTTCTTCGATTTCATAAGCTTCTCGACTTGTGCCACCCCATAAATAACTGATTTAAACAGAAATCATGAAATGAAAACATATTTGATCCTATTAAGTGGGTGAAGGAAATTAACTGAATGTTAAAAAATATTTAACAAGATAAAATTGCTTCTTTTGCTGTTTAAATTTTTTCTTTTTTTTTGCTTACACGGGAAAAATTTCCCACGCTTTTCGCCGACTTGACTTCTTTTAAAATGGAAAAGTTTAACGCAAAAGAAAGTTAATGTTGGCAAAAAAAAACGAACTTGATTTTTCAAGCAGAAAGAATGGAAAAACAGATTCAAAGTTTATCTGCAGACTTTGATCATTATGAATCACGTCACAAAGAATGTTTTAATGACGAACGTTATCTAATTCAATTTTCTTTTCTACTTGTGTCATAATTTTATTGAAACTTGTAAAGAATAATTTATAAAGATCAAATATAAAGTAAAAGAAATCGAACGAGGCCAATTACTGAGAACTACTCAAGCATGGAAGCGACATAAAAAGTCTTCGTTTATAATTGACTCATCAGCGAGTATTTCCTGTTTAAATTGGGAAAAAACCTGTGCCTTCATATGTTGTCATTACACTGCTTTGTCCTTGAGCTGATGTCATTAAAATGTAGCATCATAAGCATGAATTAACACTACTGAATACGGGAGATTTAATTAATTTAATTTTTCTTTCTTATTCGTCGTTTATGAAGAGAGAAGATTCGATAAATGAAGATTGTAAAAATTCTAACTGTTATGTATACATTAATTACTATCATGAATTAAATATGATGGAACGAAAATTACAGTCTTTGGATATATTTTCTTCATTTTTCATATTTATTTCTAATTAATAACATTAATTTCACCTTTTTTCCTTCTTTCTTGTATTTTGTCATTCGTTAATTCATAGAAAATTAGTTTAGTTATCAAGTGAATGCAACGGCTTGATTCGTAGAAGAAAATACGTCACAACAGCCGTCAGTTGTTAGGTCATTACATTAACTAATTACGCTTTAATCCAATTACTGTGAGTTTAATTTCTTTAACTTAATAATTATCTTAAGTGAATACTCGTCTAGGATTCTTCAATTTAAATCATGTTAAATTTTCATGTTGCGAAAAAAGTTTCACAATTATTTTGTAATGAGATTCTTATTATTTTATTTCTATTTTTCACGACACTCGTAGACATTCGTTTTTCCACGATTAAAAATTTGATTTACAGAATTTTTCCTTTTAATTATCTCGTGTAAATTTTTTCTAGTCAAATTATGTTTGGGATTTTAATTTCAATTTATATCTTATTTAATTCAGGTTGCTTTTCTTTCTTCTTTTCTTTGAATATTTTGGTTCACTAAATATTTATTAATTGTTTTAATTATCACTTCAATTTTCTATCAACAAACAGTCATATCCAACCAACGAATACCTAAAGCATGAAAGCTTAACATTAAAACCGATGGGAATGTCTTATAACAACAATATCAACTCACTTCCACCGTAAATTTCTCATGGTGTGATTATGAAGAAGTTCAATAGAAAATTGAAGTAATTTTGAGAGTCATTGTAATCTGTTGAGTAATTTAATGGAAAATGTAATTAGCATAATTAAAAAGTCGTGTCTTTTTTTCTTAATTTCTTCTTCATCTATCCTCTTGCAATTTGCACTTACAAAATAAATATCTTAAACTCAAATCTTCATCTTCTATGAAGGAAGAATGAAAAGAAGAGTGAAATCTCAAAGAAAAAAAAGTAAAGTCACTAATTACAACTAATTAATTAAATTGTAAAACACCTTCATCTATCGCGAGCGTCTTTATTACATTTAATTTATCTTCTTGAAAGTTGACTCGTTGATAATTTAAGAAATTAAAAAAGATCGTTAAGAGTATAAGTAGAAGTAAAAAAATAATATGCCGAAAGGAAAAACTTTTTTCTTCTCACATCTTTTACATAACTTTAAAGTTTCAAAATTTTTATATTATAAGTTCAATTCTGTTTTTTTTGGTATCAGCTTTCTATGTTTTCTTTTAAAATTTTATGTTTCCATTCATCCCATTTTTTCTAGCTTTTCTCTCATCGAAGAAAGATTATTTTTCTTTTTTACCGAAACTTTTGTGGCGTCGTTGAACAAATTTTCTTTATTCTTTTTGTATTTTTATGTTTCACTTGAACAGGAGAACGAGCGGAAGAATTATTTTCGATTAGGTTTGCTTCGTTCCCTCTTTCATAGGAAAATCCTTCGGACGAAGGGTGGGAGGAAGATGAATTTGATTTTATATTTTACTTGCTTTCTATTTGTCTTTTCCGTTTATTTATTTATTTCTTTATTTTCATCCCGAATGTCTGAGTTTTCGCTTTATTAACGTTGATTGATATAGAAGCTTTCTATGTGATGATTTAATTTAAATCATCGAGATCTGTGTGCTCGCGTTCGGGCCCATACATGTTGGCAAGCTTATCAAAGCGAGGTCCCCACGTGTTCAAATACTCGTACTCGTGAGTCTCATCATCAGTTCCTTTGTTGACAAGATAAATAAAGATAAATAAAATGAAAATCTTGTTAGTTAATCTATCTACAACATTTAATTTAATGTCTCTAAGCAGCATAAAGCTTTTCTTGTTATCTTTTAATCTTAGAAAGAAAGTTGACACCTGATTGCTTACCTGATTGAAGGGAACTTAACGATCCAGCCGTGCTGCCACCACCTTCATAAGCATAATTACGTAAATCATCAAATGGTGGTGCATTTGGATCCAAGTCAGCACGTTTTTTATGCTCATCAATGAACATCCCGACATTTGGCTCGCCTGCACCCATTGTCATCACAGGATCTGTTGAGGTTATTAAATTATAAGCAATTAATTGAAATTGTTTCTGTCCATTCGTCAGCCATTAATTCTGATGGCAGATGAAGTTTATGTTGATGGAAGAGAATCATCGAAATGAAGATAAACGATGCAAATATGTTATCTCTTTCCACGACCAAATGTGGCGATGACGTTCGATATAAAATTAATTGAATTCAAATGATGGTCATAATTTTTTTTGAAATTTCCATCATGGTTTTGTTGGTAAAAAACTAACTGTCGATTGACAATCTGCTACCATTCAAGTGGTGTTATTATGATGCACAACATGTTATGAATTGCTTTTCGTATAAATTAATTGAGTTTTTTTATGATGACAAAAAGACAACAATATGGGACACGTAACACTTTCTAGTTATTGGAAATTTCATTGGAACAAACTTAAATGGGAAATTGTTATATTTTGCACAACCAATTCGTGAACATATGTATGCTTATTAGAAATGTAGAAAAAGAACCAAAGTTGTACTTTCATGTGTTTGCACTTGAATACAAATTGTCATGAATTGATACAAAATTTCAAGTACAATTCATTGGTACAAGAAAGAAAAGCTTTCGTAATGCTATCATCATCATCACACATACATTACATACCGAAGCTAATATAAATGTTTAAAATTATTATGCTGCTGATCAGAAACGAACAATAAAATTGTTTTAAAAATCTTCGATAGGCAAAATTGCTGTTTCCATGCAATTTAAAATTAAAATTAATGTTTTTTACTGTCGGATCGCTTCGCTTGCAGCATGATGCTCACATCAATGTGAAAATGGCGTCGTAAAAACTCTTCGTATTTAAATAAATTCAAATTGAAATTTTTTTTATGCGAAAGCATATAATTTGGGGTAGAAAAAAAGAAGTGGTTGAGGCTTTCAACTTTCATACGAATCATCTCACACGGATGGCCGGAGAAAAAAAAATGAGTCAGCCCTGTTAAAGCCACAATTTATGGCCTATTTTCATTAAATCAAGGCTTTTGAAATCCGTGCGGATTTAAAGATGGCGAAAGACGACAATTTAATATCATATAAAAGAAGATTAAATAATTTTTTTCCTTGCTCTACTTACACATTATTGGTGGCATTTTACATTGAGTCAACTCAGGCATCGGACCACCTATTGGTATTTGAAGCGGTGTGATATCAAAAGCTGTCATATCATCTTCACCGCCACCTTCATCATCATAGTTAATGATATTCTCTCTCACATCATCATCTGGACCTGGATATTTAATATGCGATTCTCTTCGACGGCTGTATACGACAAACACCAAAACTAATACTGTGAAGATTTTAAAGAAAAGGAAAGAAAACGGAAATTGATAAGAATGAAAGACGAGACAAGATGGAAAATTGTATCAAAATTAATCGATGAATGGAAATGTTGTTAAATTAGATTTTGATTCTCTCTCAATAATCTTCATAACGGATATGATTTCAGCGATGATGAAGGCAACCGAAGCAGCATCAGAAAAGGTAAATGGCTTTTCAATTGTGCCTTAAGCCTCACGCCCACTCTTTGACTATGCTGATGTTGCTGTTATACTTAAATGTGCTTCGTTCATTCAAACGAACAGGAAGAAAAGAAAATTACTTTAATAGGAAAATGGAACAGAAAGTGCTAAAGCGTGCTTATCACTTCTAATCTAAAATGAATTACATTTAATTTATATGCAGGAATGGGAACGCGTAAAGAAAAAAAAATAAAAAGAAGAAGGGAAGCGTTGTACGATTTATCCGATAAATGAAGGAAAGAATGATGTTAATATTTAATTTAATATTTTTTTATCTTCTTAGTCTTCTTTTTAACTTGAAGTTAAGGAAAGAAAAAAGATTTCAATCTTTTAAGATCTAAACAAGCTTTTAGTGATGATGCTTAGTGACTTGAAACATTTATTTCTGGATGTAATCGGCTTTTGTCGGCTCATTTAATGATGTTAGCTCACTAATTCTATTCAAGCATAATGAAAAAGTATTTTAATATCTTTTAAGTGAATCTAAACCTTGAAATTCTTTTTATGTTGCTAATGAAACATTTCGACAATTTATTTTTAAATGTAAGTAATGAAAATTTGGTTTTAAGATATGAATTTCAATGAAGTTATAAAGTTCCCCAATTTAATGTCAGAATAAATAAAATATTACTCACAGAACTGTTGATTTAAGATTGAGAGATTGTTAATATATCACATTGATTAAATTTGTAAATTGAAATTAGTAAAAGCAAAGTTAAATGTCAAATAATGTGAAATGGAAGGCTTTATGTTGACAAATTTAAACTTCTTATTTAGGTATATTCAATATTTACTCAACAATTTAATTATCTAAATTTGTTGAGTTTTTTGACATTAAAATCTCTGTTGAACAATCTCAAATCTCTTCTAATCAACTAATGAAAATACGGTTCAATTCGACCTTAAAAACGTGACGATAAGATCGAATAAATAATTCCAAAGTTCCAATTCAAATTTATTTAACGATTCCTTTCTCTGTTACATAAACAACATTTTCATGTTCTTAATTTTATTTCCATCAATGAATATCTGACTTAAAAATCGATTCGGATAAATTTACAACTTTTACAAAATAATTAATTGATTCCGTAACGGAAATAAAAAAATATTCCAAAAAAAAAAATCGTGTGCAATGAAAATATTTTGACTCTCTACTTAGGTAAAGCTTTCGTTATATTTTGATCTGATATTTAACCAGTCAAAGCTTTCATCAAGAGCTATGTTATGCTGTTCATTGACAGCTTTCATGTGTAGAGTCGATTGTGCTAGGAATATAGTTTTAACGAACTTACGGAATTGCTTGTCTAACTATAACATAATATACTTACAAATGAGAGTGCTGGCACATGCAATTAATGTTACTATGAAAGTAAATGATGGCACTAGAATGTATGAAGCAGAAAGCTCCACTTCGCAATTTGTTCCGAAAAAGCCAAGAGGGCAAAGGCAGTGATATCTTTCTGGTGGATTTTGATCACGACATCGTCCGCCATTTTGGCATGGATGAAACATACATTCATTCTCATTAACACATCCACTGTTGGAGATCTTGAAGCCTTCTGGACAGCTATTGACATCAATCAGTTTAAGTAGCGATGATTGGTTTTTTTACCAACATATTTGTGCGATTTTTTGTACAAATAATAATGACGGTTTAACATTAATAAACAATATGAAATGAAACAGCAAAAAAAATAAAAATTATTAGCTTTGAACTTTCACTACATACTTACCAAGCACTGAGACATTTTTGTTTTCGCTTTTTTATCGATAGAAGATTTTCTTGAGCAAGCAGAAATTTTCATTGAAAAGTTTTATTTTTTTAAAAGAATTTCCTTTCGCAATATGGTAATGGGATGATCATTATTACACACCATTTAAGGCTAAATGGATCATTAATGTTTGGAGACGAATACAGATAATAAATCGAGCCTAGATATCTACAAACATACATGTATGTATGCTGTGTATTCTCATGAATCGTAAAAAAAGAAAAAAAACAGAGAAAACAATTTCACGAAATGAACCAGTGAATATCGTTCGGGTTGCGAAAACGAAAGGAAAATGGATAAATGGTTGAAAAGGAACGTTAGGTTGTAATAATGATAATATTATCCGAAAATGGTATGTTTTGGGAAATAGACAATTCTGAGTGAGAAAGATAGAAAGGGAAAGAGTAAGAGAACGTCGATCGAATGGATGGCAAGATAGTCATTCAACAAATTTAAAAAACAAACAGGAGACTTCTGAAAATTCATGCTTTGGTGGATATTTATCGCATTCAATAATCTACTACACAAAACAATTTAAATATATGGTGCATGCAAAATTAATTGTGGGTGAGTTTTTCATTTCACCTCCCAGCTTTCCCTCATACATGTTATAAGTCCATAAGAATCTTTCAGTCCTAGATACTAAATTTCAATAGACTCTAGCATTAAAGAAATAATCTATGGAGAAGTGGACTAGTGACAGTCATTAACATAAAACCATCTACAACAACTGTTTATTATAAGGAAAATGTTGTGTGTATGTTTACACAAACTCCATAAATATTTGCTTTTCCGATTATAAATTTTCTAAAGAGATAAACATTGCGTGTGTATAACAATGTCGATGCATTTCACTTCTATACATGCAATATGAAATGTATTCGAGCTTATCCATAAATTTTCATCATCAACCTAACAATTTAGACGAATTATGTTTTCATCCTTATCGTAGGATAAAAAAGGAAAAAGAAAATTTCATGCGGGTGGCAAGAGGATTTTGGGGGAAGCGTGTTAAAAATGATTTTCTAAACCGCTACACTAATGTATTCATTAAGAACAAATGCAGATTTCAGCTTATTCCGTTCTATGTAATTGCAGTGCATAATTTATGCGAAACTGTTAGAAAATTTTCGCCTCGGTTTTCGGTGTAGACACCAAACCGAATAAAAAATAATTCCCCAGCCATGTTTATATTTTTAATTTGAAATTAAAATGTGCAAAGGTTTTTTCTGTTTGTGCTAAATTGTTAATTTGTTAATCAATTTCATAATCAACATTCTCTTCATTTTCAGCATCAACATCCATGCTTTAATTATTTAAATCTGAGTCAGATTCCATAACTGATTAATAATTCTAATATTCAATAATATTTAAAACTTGAATAAGAATAAATTTATTTAAATCAGAACATGCTGAAGTAAAATTGCTCAACTAGAAAATCTTTGTTGTTCATAGCGAAAATGTTTCTTATTTGCAGCCGTAATATGAGAACGAAAGAGCGACTCAAAATTAGTTCTATTTCTGAAACACTAATCAAAATTCTGTAAAAACAGAATTATTCTATTAGAGATGAAGTTTGTCTTTGCTTTTTACAGATTTGATAAACAATTAGTTAAAAGGATCGAAAATCAAAAAGAAAACATTGCGGATAATGAGAAAAAAATGTCAAAATGGCGAGAAAAAAATATTAATTTTAAAATTACAGAAAGGATGCGAGAAATCATTTATGGCGAAAAGTGTGAATGCAGTAAATTAACTCTAACAAATTAGAAAGCAGCATAAAAAGTTCGTTTATTTATGCTAAGCGACGCTTGAGAGAGAATGCTTGATTTAATTAATTTCAATCATCGTTTAATTCAAAGGAAAGAAGAAGGTTAAATGCTCACTTAGTATGATTAAAAGGCAGACAAGAATGGCGGCTAAAGCTCCCATACTGAACTTAAGTACTTGACCTTCCTGTATAAGTTCACAGTTTTCACCCCAGTAGCCATCCGGGCACAAACAACGATATCTCAGACGTGGCTCTTGATTGACACACGTGCCGCCGTTTAAACATGGCAAATCCAAGCATTCATTACGATCCATGCATCCTTTGTTATCCGGAGACGTCACTTGACCTTCACCGCAACTAAACAACATCACATCACGCGCAATTCAGATGAAATTATTCAGAAAGTCGAAAAAGGGAGAAAATTTGTTACGATATCAATTATTTTTCATCAACGGAAAATAAACAAAAATAAAAACAGGCGAAAGCTTCAAATTCTACTCCACAGAAAAGACAAATAATAACTTTCACTCAACTCATCCATAAGTTTCAAATGATAAAGTATCATCAATTAATATTAACGAAAAAGGAAAAAAAGGAAACGTTTGCAATTTACGTTATTTGTGTATTAATCAAATGTAAAAAATGAGGGGGTGGAAGAATAATAAACTTGTTCGATGATCTCCTGACATGGTTAATTTTATTCTAAAACTGATTTGACATTTCCGAGGGAAACAGGATTCCCTAAATTGCAAACGATCCCAAATAAAGTCGGGGAGATAAAACGAAAGAAGTCGATAGTTGTTAGGGATAATAAATATTGACAGTAAACATAATTTAAACAGTATAGATGTTTGTTTGGATGTTGCTGTATCTGATGTTGTTTATGTTTTGATTTTTCACGTTCATAAACTTGACTCAGTGCTTGTGTGTTTGTTTTCAATTTAAGTTATTGTATCATTTAATATAAAAAATGACAATAAGAAAAAAGGAAAGAAGAATCTCATCTTTCACTTTTCTAATGTCACAGCATGAACTTACGTGCACTCATATTCGTTCCACAAATCTATACATTCGAATGGGTCTGGACAAATGACATTAGCACAAGGTTTGTTCGATGGACAATTACGTTCCAAATTTCTAGCCATTGTTGCTTGTCCCCATTGGGTGCCGTTCATTGCGGGTGGCAATGGTAAATGTTTTCCTTCCAATCTATTTAATGGCGGAGTAAAGAAGTAAAAATTAAAAGCGGTCAGATGATAAAGAATGTTGACGAGGGTTCTTTGCCTTCTGTTGGGTTACGAGGGAGAATAAAATAAAAACTTTACCTGATATCATCAAGACAGCTCTTCTGATAGTCGGCATAAACTTCAAATGTTCTAACTCCCGTATATTCGGCTTTCCCTCCAGCATAAACGCCTTCTTGTTTATCAACTAACAACCATTGGTGACCGTCAAATGTAAATGTTTCGTTATATCTTCGACCTTCACCGCCATCAAGCTCAAGTGTCGCTGCTGAACCATGACGATTCACGCGTACAACATGCCACTGTCCATCGTCAACAGCAATTGCGTTCAACCAAATATCTCTCTCTTCCGTTCTCAATGAATTCAAGTTGTAACGGAACCTCAAATGTGCGTCTTTAATCTCGAGAATTCCATATTCTCGGTTGTGTTGATCACTGACTCGGAAAAGTTCTCCATGTTGTTCACGAGTACGGAAGCGAAGTTGAATTGTCGTGCTAAAGCGATCTGGCTCAAAGCTGAGTGCGTATTTAACATAACTTTGTTGTTTGAATGTCGTTGGAATTGTTGGAACATTACATGATGGCCCAGTCCATCCGGGACGACATTGACAACGAGCTTCAGAGAAACTACCAACACAATTTCCATGTTCCCAACATCGCGATGTTGATTCAGTTGATGTGCAAACATCGTCAGTTTGCGGACAACCAGCAGCACTTGCCCGTGACAATCCTGGATGTGCTAAGTCATAAAGTTTACTGTTATGAATGAGATTCTTGATGCAACCGTCGAAACCTTTTCCATTTGGAACGTATGGCCAATTATAAGCTGCAGGGTTGAAAGCTTCACGATAGAATCCACCGACTTGTAATGGTCCATTAACATTCAAATATTCGTTAAATGGCGGAATTGTTCCTTGCGCTTGGCATGATGAATCATCAAATTCAACTGGTGATCCATCCTCAAGTTCTGACACTTCAGCTGATTTACAGAAATCAACAACCAAACGAACTGTTTCAGTATTCCAAAACACGTCAATACGATGCCATTCACCATCATCTAAAGTTTTCTTCGTCTTCACACGTAATTCAAGTGTTCCTGAACCGAAGTCAATGAGAAGTCGAGGGTAGCCACGTTCCATTTCAAGTAAAATAAAGTCAGAGATTAACATTTCATCATCTTCAGGTGGCACAATCGGTCCATTGTAGATTAAAACACCTTCGGACTTTCTCGTAATAAATTCCAAACTTAAATGTGAATCGTCACACATTTCAAGTGGCGGATACCAAGCCCAACCATTACCACGGAAGCTTCTTGTTGTTTGTTGACAACGTGGACCTGTGTAACCTGATGGACATGAACAACTTAAGCCATAACGTGTTTCGGAACATCGTCCACCATTATGACATGGCGAATTACGACACGATTCAGCTTTGCTGAAGTTTCGTGCTCCACAAGTGCATTCAGCTAACACATCAACTCTCACACCAACTAACGATGTCTTATTAGCATTCACCATGTAGGGAAGCGAACTTATGTCCAATGAATTTGTACATGAACCTTCACAATTCTGATTCTCATATAAACATTCATCAATGCCAACCATTGTGATGTTGATGCCAACAGAATTCTCAATATCTTCACGATGCATCAATACAATGCCATTAAGACGAACTGCTTTGTAGTATGGTGAACCATGAGCTGAGAAACGGATGTCAGTTAGGGGTGGATGTTTACGTCTTAATTGAACACTAAACACGTCAACATTCTCCTTGTCTGTGCTTAATAAATCGGCGAGTTTCTCTTTAAATTTATCAATTTTACTTTTTGATAAACTTTGCGTACGATAATTCCAAACACGAATAAAATCTTCATCAGTTATTCCAGACACTCTGATACTTCCTGAGTTGATAATCGCTTCATGTGGAATTTCTCTCACTGTCACTGTCACATTTGCTGGCACATCAGTTTGTGTATGTTTACGATCGTAAACTTTAAACCGCAAGTGGTAACGATCTTCTCGTGTTCCCTGTCTCATTGTTATCATTCCAGTGTCTTCATCAAGCTTAAATCGTGGATGTTCAGCACCTTCCCAATAGAATTTCTTGTCAGGTAAATCCCAATCATCGAGATCATAAACATAAACACGACCGATTTGTGTGTCTGGCGATTGTCCGGCATAATTGTAGACAAAAATGTCCTTCGAACCTGGTTGCATTTTATTATCATTCACATCACCAATGACAACTGTCAATGTGCTTGTTCCAGTCATTGCTGGATTTCCATGATCTTTAATCACAATTGGAATTAAATATTCTTTCTGTTGTTCGCGATCAAATGACCTTAATGATGAAACAATTGCCATACCGTCACCATTAGCACCTTTCTGATCTTGTTCAACTTTAAATGATGCACGAATGATGTCATCAGCACCTGGATCAAGACGAAATTGGAATGGTGGTCCATTACTTTTCGATCGATCATCATCATCAGTTGCGAGAATTTCAACAACTTTCCTTGGTGGAACATGTTCTGGTAAAACCGGACGATAATCTTTCAGGAATTTCGGTGCATTATCGTTGATATCTTGAACAATAACAGTTAACGTAGCTGTTGCTGTTTTAGGTGGAATTCCATCATCAATCGCAAGAATTTTCACTTGATGTCTTGGTGTCACTTCTCGATCTAATTGTCGTTGAATCGTCACAGTTCCTTCCTGATTAATTGAGAATTGTCGTTGACGATCTGATGTTCGATCAATTGCATACGACACTTTACTCTTCCCACCTTGATCTGGATCAGTTGCTTTGAATGTTTCCAAAGTTTTTCCAACACCGGCATTCTCATAAACTGAAACCTCAATATTTGGTCTTTCAAACTGTGGCTTGTTGTCATTAATGTCTCGCAACTTCACCACCACCCATGAATAAGCGACGTGATATTTATCATTGTCATTATCTTCACCTTTATCGTTGACTTGAATTCGAAAACGGAAACCATTGCTTTGCAAAGTGTCTTCATAGTCAAGTGGCTGAACGATTTTCAAGCTTCCTGTACCGTCATTATTTCGAACCATGGTGAACTTGTCAGCACCGTAACCGCTGTTATCAATGACCTTGTATTGAAATTTATTTGTTTCGTCTTCGTCATGAACGGTAACGGTTAAAATTGGCATTTCGGGTAAATTAGTTCCATCTGTTTCATCGACTTCTGTAAACCATTCATCTTTGGTGAATTGCGGTGGCATGTCGTTGATGTCTTTGACTCTTATCGAAGCCGTTCCCGTTCCTTTCAATCCCCCACCATCCATCGCAACGACTTGTATCGAGTAATCTGGTGTTCGTTCACGATCTAAACAACATACAGCGGTTTTAATCACACCCGTGTCAGGCTCTATCTCGAAAATTGGCGAACCGGTCTCTTCTTCAATCACATTTTTCTCGATTGAATAAATGAGCTTAGCATTTGTGCCTTCATTTGGATCATCATAATCGACTGCTGTCATTGTCATTACGACCATGCCTGCTGTTCCATTCTCAGTGACATTTCCAAAGTAAACGCCTTGTGGAAAGATTGGAGCATTGTCGTTAATATCTTTAAGGTTTACTTGCACATCAGCATATCCGACAAGTCCTTCGCCTCCTTCATCTTGCGCAAAAACAGTAAAGCGCCATTGTGGACGTCCATTCGGTTGATCTCTATCCAGTGGCTGTACATGAAATTGAAATAAACATTAAATTCCGATGAATACGAAACGACTAGGATATGAAGAATTGAAACAAATATAGAAGAAGAAGAAAGAAGCGTCGGATAACTGAAGCTGCTGCTGATGTTGCTCGTTTGTTTGCAGTTTGACAAACATTCCAATTAAATTTGAATCAACTTCAGTGCTTTGCAAATTGTTTATCGTCTTTCTTTCTTTAACAACGTGAGATTTCATGTTATTTCGTGAAACATAATGAAAGTTGTTATGCTCTGTTAGTGTAAGAAAGTGACAGAGATTGGAACTGAAAGATGAAATTTTTGTGGAACTTTCCGATAAAGCTAAGAATTTGAATGTTAATTAAAGAACTTCAAGCTTTCCTCATATTTGTTTTTGTCCAACTCTTATCGGAAAATTTTGGTCGGTTGAAAATTTCTAAGCTCTGACAAGAATGGTTTTGAAACGAAAACAAAATTGTAAAAGCTTTTAATACGAAGCAGAGCACTTTTCATTCGAAAGAAAAGAGAAAAAAGATAAATAAATATGGAAACACGTCCTTCGAGGAAATCCTTCCGCTGATTTTTTCCGGTATGGTCACGTATGAATGATGTAGCATGATGTCAGCGGATTTTACATTCCACTTACTCTCCTTTTTATATCCCTCCAAGTTATCTTTCTGTTTGAATGACAAAATTACTTTTAAAATATTATGCGAGATTCTTTCGGGGTGAAAAATTGACAAACATTTTCCGTCTCCATGCTATGCTAGCTGTGTGAAAACTCTTTCGATTTTCACAGATAACAAAGTTGTTTTGGCATCAGTTAACGGACTTTTAGTATTTCTCACATAGAATTTTCAGCAGTTTTCATTGAACTGCGTTGGTAGCACTTGCCAATTGTGTAACGAGTTGAGAGAGAAATGAAATTGATGGGAAAGGATTTAAATTCAATTTTTATCGCTTCAACCTCCTGTAAGCATGGTTAATTGTCCAATAAATGTGTATTAATTGCTTCATTCAAGTGAACAAAAACGAAACCAAGCACGGAGACTGCACCGGATGAATAGGTCGTCCATGAAAAATGATAACTATTACTCCGCTTGGGAGTGTTTCGGAAAAGTGAGAGAGACGAAAATTTCAATTTTACAATGGAATTTTAATGGATATTTTATGCACGAGTTTATCTTCCTTCGAGAGACATTTTAATGAAAATTCTGCATTCAAGCTTAAATATTTACTTACAATGTATGAAAATGGAGAAAAGCTTAAACAAATGACGAAAAATTTCGATAACAATTGAACATTGAAAGCTTCAATAATTCATTAAATTTCTAGTGAACTCTAATTTTTAATTAAAAGAATCTGAAATTTATCACGTCTCTTCCTTCAGTTAACTGCTTTAATTATATTTAAAATTAAAACTTGAAATGTCATGACGAAAGAATGAAGCAGAACCTTCAAAAGGTTCTTAATATTCAATAATCGTGCTGTTATAAAACAACTTCTCGAAGGTTTTTTTTCTTTTAACTTTTTATACCGCCAGAGATTTTACTTTTCTGTTTGAGTTCCTTTCATCGCAGACTCTTTCATTCACTTTGCTTCAGGAATTGAGGGAAAATATCTTCGCTTTCCGATTCGATTTGCTGCAGGATATTCACATAAATCAATGTGATTCAGCACGTTCTTCCTCGAAAATGAAGTCATGAAAATTGTTTCCATTTAATTCAATTTATTGATGGAGTTAAGCGCATGAAGATTTTTTTTCCAGCAACATCAGCAAATTCCCAAAACCACCCCTTAAAAAGAAGAAAAATGTTCTACTTTACCTTAAGCACGAATATCTCGCCTGTTGTTCGATTGATGTCGAATTTACTGTTGGCTGGATTGTCGGGATCGATACCCTGACCCGTCAGGAAATAAACGATGTTTTGTGGTCGGTCTTTGTCGCCATCAGTTGCGGTTACCTAAATTTTTCCGAAATGTTAACCAGTGAAATGAAAAAAGCATTAGAAAACTTTTAGTTATTCATTTCGTGATTTAAAAAGCTTTAAATTCTAGACTACAAAATCATTCATATCAATCACTACATATCAATGACTAAATTCTGGTGGAAATTTCAATTTTTTATAGTTACATATTTTCAACTCTACTATTACATAAGTTGCATGAGCTACAAAGGCAAACTTTTATTTTTTATATTAATTTTTTCAATTTAAAATTCACCGTGTATCATCTCACTTTAGGACTTTTACACTTTAGTCATTTGTATGTGTTAAAAAAGCATGCAAAATTAAATAAAATTCACTTAAGGCACAAATTAATTTTACGTACATTTCCCAAAAATGAAAGAAAAAGTTTTCATTCGGACAAACCGAAATAAATGTTAAAGTTACAAACCGTACAGTAAGCAGGAAGTTTCGATAATGAATAAAATATGAGAAAGAATTTAATGAAAATCAGCTTAATTTAAATGTTAATGTGGAACATTTAATGGATGAAATAAATATTGGATTAGGAAGGCAAACGTTTGCGAGCAGACGAAAAAAGCTTTCGGCAAATTCACAACGCAATATTTAATGTTCGATTGCAATCATTTTCCATGTTGAATTCCTTTTCCTCTGAATAAATCATTTTGTTGTAAAAACCTCACAATTTCATTCACTTTCTGTTGAAATATTTAAATCCCTTTTAACCCTCAAGACCTTCAAAAGCAAAACAATCAGGAAGCTTTTCATGTATGTATATATCATCTCACTCTCTCATTCACTGTTTATATACATAAATATATATCTACTTAGATTTAAATGACGCAGCATACAAAAACAGCTTCTGTGAAAATTGTTTATCCTTCGCAAAAGAACAAACATCGATTTATAACTTTTGTAAACTGATCTGAAAGTCGAGAAAAGAAAAATTGAAGGAAAAGAAAAATATTTTTAAATCTCAAAAAGGGAAGCAAGCGAACGCATTTAATGCGTTCATGAATCTGTGAAACCATTGCCTAGACTTAACTCAAGGCATTCACATTCGAAAATATTCAAGATTTCAAGAACGAAAGAAGGAATTTGCAGGGTAATTGGGAAAAGGAGTTAGAAGGGATTTTATCTTTAAATACTTTGCTTCGAATCTGCCTTCGGAATGTTTGTTAGGATTGTGTGGAGAAAAACAGAAAAAAAGAATTTCAACACCGAAAAGAAAAAGAAATGAATTCACTCACTCGTGCGAGAAGCTTTTTGAAACATGATTCGAGGAAGAAAAGAAGAAATCAAATTATGTAAATTCTCCCCTCTACATGAACATACATACACCAGTCATAAGCGGAAATGTCGACGGGATATGTCTCAAAGAGCATATGAAACAAAGAAAAGAAAAAAGTAAATAAAAGATTCAAAATGTCTTTCCACCCATTGTTGTGTTTGTCAAGCAATTCAAAGTCTTATCATGGAATATCAACATGGTAAAAGAAGTACAATGTCGTCTCATCAAGACCAATTTACATTTGATAAGATTGTGGAGAAATTTACAGATAAAGATCGTAATGTAAAGCCATCCTCCTATGCATCCACAACCCTCAATGTCTGAGCAAAAAATGTTATTTCAGATGACTAAGACCCAAGCTGCTGTTCACTTTCATGTTTCTTTTTAATTAAAACAAGTCCTAGAATGTTTGAACAGGTAACACGAACATAAATAGGAATATGAGATTGCGTTGAGAATGTCGAGATAACAACAACACGATGTAAATTGATGTCTCGGTAAAGTTCTACAATTCCTTTCCTTTTTATCCTTAATAACATTTAATTTAAATCAAAAAGAAAGTAAATTAAATTTAAAGTTTCACATCGTCAAATGTTGCAACTTGCAATCGTAGAACATTAAAATAATTTTTAAACTTTGTCATTGAAGAATCAAACAGAAATTAATTTAAATTAGATTTAGATTAAGATAAATTTCTTTTATAACTTTAAATATTTAATTGCCATGAAATTGTATCTAGCTTTACTCAATTAAAACAGATGACATATGCCAGCTCAACAAATGAGATTGCAACATTAACACATTTAAATTCGCTTCCAGTAATGTTACAAAACTAATGGAAATAACAATTTCACTGCCTTTCCTCCTTTAAAGTCAACAATTGAAGCAGTTATCAAATAACATTTTTATTCTTTGCTTATGCGTAAAGCAAACATTAATGTATCGTGTTACGCCGCAAGCTCTTCTATCACAACTCAAGCGCTAATAATGAATGAGGCAAGGAGGTGTTCTGCCTTTTAGCGAGATAATTTTTTTTTCATTTTCCTATATTATAATGAAAAGCGAGGCTTCTAAAGCTTTCATCAGATTTCATTTTTACTTTCTTGAATGGGCGGTAAAAGGCGGAACTCTTCGAGAAATTTAATTTCTATTTTCATCCTTCAAAAAACAATTGTAATTGTTCTTCGTCTTCTTCTCTATGAAAAATAAATTTTTGTGGAAGGCAAAAAGCCGACAGGTATTTTTTGATGATTATTTTAATTAGCATTTTTATGATGAAAATCTTATTGTCAAGAATTTTTTCATTTTCCACTTTAATCTGATAGAATTCGGGTGGGTTTCTGGAGCTTCTTTCATCTTGTTATCCTCGTTGAAGTTGTCAACATCCTTATTCAATGTCTGCAAATAATTGATGGATGAACGATAATAAACCTTGATGGATTTCATTAATTATCGTGAGCGTGAACAATTTATTAGAAGTTTTCCGCCCTCTAACAATCGTCATTTGATCATTTCGTTCTCCTTGCTTATGATTTATTGCGCTTATTAATGTTCTGTCACTGTTGTATTCATCATCGATTGCTTCTTTATATTCTTTTATACTTCACTCTTAATTTTTTTTATATTCTATCCTAAACACACAAATAATAATTAATTGGCAGCGACTGTTTCGCCGCTTTCGATTATAAAATATCATCTGTCATTGACTAAAGTTTTCTACGCAGTATTGCTGCCAACTTGATGATAAGAGAGTTTACGTCTGCTTTTCAATATTACACATTTCAATGCTTAATCTTAATTAATTTAACTTTTCGTTTCGAAATATATTTGCATTGGAAATTCATGAGTAATTAATTTGTTAAGTGTAAGTATTTACATTCATACATCGACAAAATAATAAACCTTCACCATAACTTTAATAAGTTTAAGAACATAAAAGAGAAAACAACCTGAGTAATCATGTATGGTGCTTCCACCTCTTCATCCAGAGATTTCTCATAAAAAGTCTCGTGAAAAACTGGCGGCGAATCATTCACATCCTTCACATTGATTATAATCGTCGTATAATTTTCATTCAAACTATCAGAGGCAACCAATCTGAGCGAATACTATAAACAAAACAATGATGGTGTTAAATAATAAAAAACAAATTCTATAAAATGTGTTAAATAATAAATAAAATTTTTAAATATGAATCAACTTCCATTCGTCGACTCTTAATTTTGTACGATTCCTTTTACATTTTTTTATGATTTGTGAAGCTTTTGTGACGATGACGCTTTAAAACATAAAGCAAAGAGAGGTTTTGGATCAACTTTACGGTTGAATTACCACTCTTAACATTTAAATGAACCCATATGAAAGTTTCATGAAAAGAGATATTAAATCAAACAAAAATAAAATTGCCAGCTACATTAAAAAAATGTGAATGTGCAGGTTTTGCATGCTCTAAAGTTCTCAAAACGAAGTAAAATTTAATTCAAACACTCGCATCAAAGCGTTTTCTGGTGAAATTAAATCAACAAAAGTTAAATAAAAAATCAGCTTGCATCAAAGAATTTCAAAATGGGACAAAAAGGCAAACAGCAAACAGCAAGACTCAAATGATATGATGAAAAATAAAACAGCTTTCTTGCGTGAAAACAAGTGTGGAATATTAAAAGACCTGCAAAACACGTTTTGGTAAGTTACGATCGTCCTCTTCTGTTATTTGTGTACGATACGTTGGTCGTTCAAATACGGGTGGATTATCATTAACATCCTTAACATGTATCACGACCGTCGTGTAGTTTTCTTTCAAGTTATCTGATGCAGCCAAACGAAGCTCATACTAATGGAAGATATAAGAAATGTATGCACATATGATAAACTTTTTCATGTTACTCTGTCTCTGTCATGAATCAAATAAAAATAAAAAACGACTTTCATCGTAGAAAATGATAATTTTTACTTCACAAACTTTGGAAATAAATGTTGTGTAGGTGAAGTTAAAACTGTCACTTTGGCATATAACTTTACTTCAACCGTATCATGAAGACAATTTTTTATTTAAACATAAATTCTTGAACAAGATAGGAGCGTTGATTGTCAATTACATTGCCTTGTATGTAGCAGTTCGACATCCTTAAGCCAGGATGCTGCAAAATTTAGTTTATATATTATTACTTTGATGCACTCGCTAGTGTTCCCCTCTCTCTTTATCTCTTGATCTACTCGCAATTCCTCACTATGATACATAACAAAATTGAATTCCTTATACGCGACTGGCATTGATAAATAAACTTTTTTTTCCTCTCTTACATTTAAATTGCGACATTGCATTTAGTTAAGAAAAATTGCTTGTAGCGAAATTAAATTTCTTTTTTCTCGCCAATCTGATTCAGTTGATCTTTTCGCCATTTCGCGAATAAATTTTTTAGATTTAAGCGAATACCAGCATATGAACGAGAATAAAATGGAAAAATGTAAGAAGGAAAACTGCTCAATATGTGAATGATACAATCGAAAGCTTTTTCGTTCTCGTTCGTTATCCTCATGAAATTATTTTCATTCTTCTTTTTTTTTTATTTCTCTTGGAAAAGAATAAATAAATAACCCGAGGACTGCGAGTAGAGCGAAAAAAAAAGACTTCGAAATAGAAACAATTCAATATTACAAAAGTTTCCGGGCATTGAGATGACGTTGTCTGCAGTTTCGCTTTGTTTTGCGAATGTTTCGAGAAAAGCTTAAAGTTTTAAATTCTGTTTCACTTGAATCTACCCTCAATGGAACTAATTTTTTTTGTCTATCCCATTATGGCGTACATGCAGCCACTCGCTCAATAGAATGAGGGAAGATAGAAAGATACGAAAGTCGTATATCACTTGAACATTTTTTCTGTTCTTTATTCGGTTCGCCATCTAAATTACGAAAATTTGTGGATGGAAGAGGATCACAGAATTTCCTATGAAACGTTTCTTTGTAAATTTCTTTTCTGAAATGTGAGTTTTTCTCTCTTTCATTAACTTCAATTAATTAAAACTCTTCCTTTTGTATATGAAAGCCACTGGCGTTGAAGTATATAACATCATGTCTTGTGATGAAACAGGAACTTTCTAGAACTATCTCAATTCCTTTTTGTTATTAAAATTTTTATGACTATGCAACGGCTAAAATCAAAAAACTTTCGGTTAACTTTCCACATCCGTTGGATATTAAAAGAGAAAAAAATATCTTTTAACACTAAATGAAACAATGTCGCTTCTTCCACAAAGTCACCCGGATAATGACAAAGAAAACAATATAACTTAATAATTGAACGGTTGTTAAAGGAAAGCAACTTCAAAAGTGACTTTTTTGTTCTGAAAATATCTGAAATTGAATTAGACTTTCTTTTGGCATTATCAAAGTTGATGTTGAATGAAAATTAATTTTGCTTTGCTGGTTCAATTTAATTTCTTAAAAACATTAATTATTTCCAACTGGGATTGTTTTCAAAGCCACTTTCGGAACTAATTTTCTCTCGCTAAAATATTAACACAGAAAAACTGTGAAGATTTGAGGCAAGTGAAAAAGTTGTCTCGTTACCAGTCTGACATTAATTTTCATATTTACTTACTCGCTTTCTGGTTTCGTAATCCAATGCTCCAGCGACGTAAATGGCGCCAGTCATGTTTTTCACGGCAAAAGCACCTCCAATGTTACCGCTTGTGATCTCATATCGAATACGCGATGCTATTTTATTATTTTTTTGGGAAGAAGAATAGAAAAAAGAAAAAGAAAGTTCAGCATTAATTTTAATCTTTCGTTTACGGTTGGAAGAATGGAACGAGAGATTGAAATATATCGGCAGAGTGTCTGTATGAGCATCAATCATTTTAGAATTTATCTTGTGTAATAACGCTCGACTCTCGCACTTTAAAAAGCAATTTTTTATGCATGATGGCAACGTATTATGATGGAAATTCTCTTCTTTGCAGATACATAAATTTTTTGGGCATAATTTCTACATTATGCTAAATTATTTTCTTTCTTTTCTGCATAAAACATCTATGTTTGCATTGGAAAAGAAAGATTTTTCAGTTCTAACACTTGTGAGCTTTTATTTCCATTTCTTTTTTTGCTTACAAGAAAAAAAGAAAGGCGCAAGAATTTTCGAGCTTTTTGTAAGCTTTAACGCTTGAGCGGATTTTTCTTTTTTTATTGTCTATTTACATTTGCGAAACCTAAATATATACAGAGTTGAATTGAGTTGAGTCGAATCGCGGAAAAAGTATGAAAAATAAATTTTAATATAAAATGATGTATTTTAAATGATGTTACATGTTTAATGTCTTCATTCGTTCATTCTACTCTTCTTCTTTCGTCATTGACGCTTTACGAGTAGCATTAACATCGTTGTGATGCATACAATGCTGAAGACAATAAGAAAATACATTTCATGTAATTTGTAAATATTTTAAATTGCTTCATGAAAATGTAATGCTTTCATGTTGTAGGTTGGAGTTGAATGAATCTTATTCTTTACAAAATTTGATTTTAAGCATCACTGTACACATTTTATTGTCAATTTCACATCGAAACCTTTCACATCTAAAGAACGATAGAAAATAAGGAAAACAAAACTGAAATGGGGAAAATACGTGAACTCGAGAATGGCTCTAAAAAATCATGTTAAATATATGTTAAACATTTTTTCCTTCCTTCTCCCTTTTACAAACGATAATTTATGACGGGATTCTTCCTTTTTTCTTTCATGTAAAAACATAAGGATTTTTAGTGTGGGTGTATGTTGGTCCTCTCTCTCTCCCTCTCTCTTTTGCTTTTTCGAAGCAAGGAAATAGAAAAAAAATGTATGAAAATTTTTTAGGATAACAAAACGACGCTTGTTGGTGCGGGTGGCAATATTTTATGTCAAAACAGCACGGCAGCAACAAAACAAATTTGTCGTGAAGCTTTTTTTGTTGTTTTCTTCAACGTTCTTTGATGGCAAGCGACTGATAATAATGTAATATTTTCGATCTTCTATATATTTGCTTTAATGTTTATTCCAAACTAGGAATAGGAAGCAATAATTTCAGCAACAAATGGCCAATTATGTAAACATCAAACGATGTGAAAAATTTATAAGTCAACTTTGAATCATGAAATTGATTTTTTCTATGTTTGTTGAAATATTGAATAATCATTTCACGGATAAATACTTTTCGAGACTTACATACATATCAGAGTGATATTTACGATGACTTTGCGAAATCATAATTTTTCCACTTTTCATCCGCTAAATTAACAACTCAAATTTCCTTTTCTGCAATACTTGAAACACCACAAAACCAAAAACTCTTTTCGATTTTAAAAATAAAATATAAAACTTCAACCACATATTTATTCATGGTTTAAAGTGAGTGGTGATAAAAAATTTGAAATGGAAGTGAAAAAAAAATGTTTTGTGGTTTGACTGCAAGCTCTTTTGATTCATTTCTCGCTTCCCTTGGAGTTGTTCAAAAGTAAAAAAAGCTTGCACGAAGTATTCATTCTTTTGAATATATTTCTTTGCTTCCAACACGTTTTACTTTTTTCCTTTTCTTTTCTGAAAAATGTTTCTCATATTTATTAGAATTCCGCCATATAAATAAACAGAAATGTGAAAAGGATTCTAAAGCGTTGCAATCGCATGCTGTAAGAAGAAAGAGTGTGAGAAGCTTTTCAGAACTTAAATATTTATTCAGTTCTACCGCCATCATTTGCAGAATTATTTCGCTTTCGTACTCTCTTCTTGGCTGTTTCTGTTTTGTGTTAAGCTTGGAAGTCCCATCGGGAAATCATGAATGAATGAATGAACGAATGAATAAAAGATTTTTCTGTTTTTTTTTTCTTTTTTTTCAATAGCAAGATAAGAGTTATGACAACTGTGGGTTGGTAAAGTATTCTTTTGTGGATGGGATATTTTTTTTGGTCTAAATATCCAGCGATAGAAAAAGAGATAGAATCGTAGATATCTAGTAACGAAATAGCCAACGCGGTACTTTTATACCATAAACATCTTCTTACTCATTAAATATCATACCCTGATGATAAAGCAAATGTCACAAATGAGAATTTTCCATCCACAAAACTCTAATAATTTTATTTATCTTCCACCAATATTTTTCCATCCATCTAAAGCAAAAATGATAAATTGCCGAATAACTCCTTTGATATGGGAAAACGTAGCAAACATAAATTCTGATTATCGAAAAACATCCGACGAAATGAAATTCAAAATGGTAAAAAGTACAATATAACTCATTTTCTGTGACATAATAATTGATTATTATCTTCTCAACATCAACAACATAGGATCAGCCAGAAATTCATAAATGTTTATAATTAATTTTTTCGCGGGAGTTGAATTTAATTATTTTTCACATAGATATTTAAAAGTGAGCATAAACATATATATGTACAGGTTATATGCTATATTTAGCATAACAAGTTCTCTTATCTACAAATAAATCAAACATACATATGTCTGACGTGAATATTTTAATGTTATCAAATTATAAAATGAAAATTATAATTGAACGAATCGATCAGGAATTACGTCATCTAATATTTTTAAAAATGTTAATAAAATTTAGGTGGTACTGAGATTTCTTTCCACGCTACCACTTTATCGTTTTATAGCTGAAAATTTTCACTTTTTTAATCTGTTAATAATTTTCAACATCGCCGGATTAAATTTCAATTTCAAGTTATTATAAAATATCAAAAGTTGATTTCAATCTCTTCATAAGTTAAAAGGTGAAAAATAAAGTTTAACTTACATTCATCGTGATCCTTTGCTGTAACCGTCAGCACCGTATGTTGAATATCCTCATTTTCATCGACCTCTGCTTCATAAAGTGCCTTGTCAAAGTACGGTGGGTTGTCGTTCTTGTCAGCAATTCCGATTCGAATAAATTTGGTAACTGAACAGTATAATGATGGTGGCAATAACAATAAGAAAGAAGAAATAGAAAAATTGTATATTTAATTAATGTTGTTGTTGTGCCTTTAAGCACCCCTTTTTTTCACTCCAATCCCAAACTGTTGTTTTCGGAAGACAATAAAAAATTCTAAATAATTAATTGTAAAGTGTTGAATCCACCCCCACAACAAAAAAAAAAGTTAAAAAGCTTTCTCATTATTTAATGATTTTAATTGGCAATGATTTCTTTACTTTCATTTATTTAGGGTAAGAAGAACAAACAGAATTCATTGCTAAGCTGTTGACTACCAGCACAATCAAAAAGAGTTTTATTGGATTTCTTCTTCATCTTCAGTTCTTTTTTTTTGCTTTTAATTAAAAAAAGTCATTTCATCAACATTTTTTTTTCTTCTACTGCTGTTCTCATTTTTAGATATAAATTTCTTAGCAAATTGTTGGCAATTTTTTCAGTAAGTTCCTTCACACGAAGAGACAAATTAGAGAGTCGGACGATGCTTCACAAGTTTGAGAAAAGTCAGAAAATGCAATTCAGTTACACTTGGAACGAGATAAAGTTATCACAAATTAAATTGCAGCAAAGCATGAGCTGAATGAAAGTCGAAAAAGGTTTTTCCTTTGTTTTGCTCAAGTGACAATGAAATTAAATTGTCCTTTTGCAACCTGAAAGTGAATAGTTCGTAATTGAACCATCTCTCCCTCACACTTTCTTTTTCTCGCCGTTTTGAAGTTAATGTCAAAAGAATTGAAACAGTTTTATTAGTTAGCATTATGCAATAGAATTTCATATATCGTTGGGGACGAAGCAAATAAAATTTGGTATTTTATGTCTCGCTTGAGTATTTTCAACACGAATAGAAAAGTAAAGAAAGAAAAACCAGTACCAAGTTGAAGGAATCCACTTAAGAAAGAAAAAAAATAACTTGAAATGATTTTTATTGTGACAGACGACAGATCATTGACTGAACAATGACGCCACCACTCAATAAAAAGAAATCATTTTTTCTTATTCTTATTCTTTACTCTTTATAAGTGAAAAAATTATTTCAAATCAGGCGAAGAATGAGCACTTTAATGGCTTGAGTGTTTTATTATACCACTGTCAATTTAAGACGTTATTGAATATAAACGCTGATGGAGAGGTTCGAGAGATTCTCAAAGTAAATTCTTTTACTTCTTACTATCATCTACTGCTTCTCTACCAAAATTAGATGAGCAGAAGATTTGATTCTTTTCAACGCTTATAACAACATTTTTCTTATCTCAAGATAAGAGAAGTGAAGAAGCACAAATTGATGGTTAATTTTTGTCTACCGCACTTGAATCAGAAGCTGTTGAGGCATTACTTCGTCACTCATTCCACGCCACACCACTTTCAAGCACACGAGGAAGAAAGCAAGCAAGATATGAAAAAAGTAATTGCGAAAAAGCTTTATTATGTGTTATGGATGAAGCATAAAACCATAATTGTGTTTTTGTGTTGTAGAAAATAAAAAAATAAGAGGAAAGGAAAGATGTGATAGCTCTCGGCCTTGTGTGTGGAAAAGCGAAAGGAATGAAAGGGAAAAACTTTTTACTTCATCGTTTAATGTGAAAATATTGTCAAAACCAGATTAATTTTGCCTCGAGAAGAGCCAAATGCATTCAATGAAAAGCACTTTTGATTCTTTTGTTCTTAATAGAATGGAGTTTTCCATTTAATCTCATTCAATGAGTAACAGAAAGAAATGAATGAGTGTTGTATTTTCAGACTGACATATATGTTGTCATTTCATATCACAAGATTTAGAATATTTTTATGCTTTGAAAAAGTTCTTGAATTGTTCTTTAAAATGTTTGTCGCATTTAAACTTACTAAAAGCTTCTTTTGTTGCATGCATTTTAAATAAAGAGTGGAATGCATCCGAAGAATATTTACAAGTATCTACATTAAGTTGCAAAATTGTTAGAGAAAGATTTGTGTTCAAGGAATGATTATGCAAACATAACCATTATACATTTTGTAACTTAAAACCTCTTGAGAGCTATGGGAAAATCTGTGCAAAAGTTGTTGATGGAGAGTGAATGCAGTTGATTGCAAAATAAGCAAAAGTAGTAGGAGAAAATTCACACAATCAGAGTTTTCTATTCAAATCGTGTTTGGTGCATTTTTATTCATTTGCTTTTTCAGCTGACTTGAATTGGGTTTGGAATGAAAGATTTCTTCAAGTATCCTCTCTATAATATCGATTTTGTGTTTACATTATCTTCTTCCTTCTTCGTTTTCAACATCGAGAGAAGAAAGTTTTCTTTCTTGAGGAAACAATCTCGAGATCATTGAATGCTTTTGTTGATTGCCTCGTTCAATGGTGATTTGGTTTTTGATTTGCGAATGGAAAAAGTTACTCAAGCTTGGCGAGAGAATGAGAAAGTTGGTAAACAGAGCCTAAAAAATGCGAACACGAATTTTCTTGATAGCCATTGGAGAAAATTTTCCTGATAACTTTCTTTACTCAGCCGGAAAAATAGAAGAAAAAAAATAAAAAAGATTTTGTTATGAAAAGAAAATAAGAAGAAGATTTTTCGCGAGAATTTATGTATACAAGAAGAAGAAGATTTATTTTATTTCTTTTTCATTCTTTTATTTGATTTTCTTATGCACTTTATCCTTGCTTTATTTCACACAAAGCCAATAAAATTGAAAAAGCTTACACTTCCGACATCATGCAGCTTTTTAATGTGCTTTCATTCAATTTTCAAGTCAATAAATTCAATATAAAAGTTGTTTCATCTCACACTTCTAAAGCTCTGAAGTTAATATCGTAATTCTTGGTCTTTTATTGTAAAGAAGCGTTGATAATACAAACAGAAACAACCCTTTTATAATGTCACTCAAACTTGCGCTGCTGATAAATCATCTTGAGAAAATTTCCCCTTCACTTATGTAGGAAAGAAAGAAAAAATAAACTCGTTTACTTTACCGTAATGTAAAGAGATTGTCAGTTGTCATTTTGAATTTAGATTGAATGCTGTTAAATAATTTTTACCTAAGTATGAACTGTTTGTTAGAACCCAAAAAACTTTCAAAGGATCAACCATCGTCAATATTATGTTTAATTGAATTTTAGTTTATGTTAACGTTCAAATTTGATGTGTTTCACACGTGAGCTTTTAAAAGCACTTAGAATCTCAATTCAAAATGTTTGTATAACAAATCAATTCATCAATATTTAAGCTTTCAATTTTCACAATGTTACGCAATAATCCTATTCGTGTCAAACATATGTGAGTTGGATTGACGCGATCAAAAAAAGAAGAAAATATTCTGTTTGAAAAACAAATAAATTAATAATTGATGCATGTTGGGAACGGGTGCCCATGTTATTATGATCATTTATTATTCAACGTTTCGTTCATCATCGATCTTAGAGAGATGGCAGAAGCCTTTTCCATTTTCATGCTTTCATATTCACAATATTTCACCACAAAGTCATATAATAATCATATGTTTCACTCGGAGAGTTCAAGTTTTATAAGAAAAAACAAAATTTAGAATAATTCGTACAGATTGCATCAAATTTTAACACTACACACGTACGCGTCGTATAAAGCTTAACTGAACGATGAAGGAAAATAGTTGTGTAAGATCGAGAACAAGTACGAGCGTACACAGCTGCAATTTTATACATTTTTCATGTTTTAAAATATTTTGGCTTCTCTCTTTGTGGTTCCTTACTTTACACTTTGAACAACCCAAGAAGGAAAATTAGATCATCTTTATTTCGTTTTGGGAAAAGGATGAAGAAAATGAATATTTAGAATATGTTTTTATTGTGTGCGTTGATTCTTTTACCGCAAATATAAAGGTATACATGCGCATTCTCATACAATATTTTTTGCAGAATGAAAGCGGGAAAAAGCTGCATTTCTTTCATTAAATTTGTATTTTTCGAGTGAATTTAAGTCCTATTGATAGGAAGGTTTGGTTTTTTGTAGAGATTTTTGTGAGAAGCTTTGTTCTAAAGAACTGGAGGGGAAATGTTTTGCAAAGGATGTTTCGCCTAATGTTTTGCCCAAAGCTTTACCCATCGGATTGTTTTCCTGATGTTTTTTTTACACTTCCGAGCTTTTTTTTATGGAAACTCACAGAAAACACATATGTTTGAAATTAAACGTCGCTCTAAGCCGCATTTCTCTCTCGAAAAAAAAAAGTATAAGTAGTAAGTAAGATGAAATTTTGTGTAAAATTTGTTTAAACAAAATAAACATATACTGCAAATTTTTTTTCGCAATAACTCCATAACCCAACACTTTTTAAATATAATGTCTTCTAAGAAATTTATCCACTTTCAGGTCCTCTATCGGTTGTTTTAAGGCGTACTTTCAATTAATGAACCAATCACATATGATGATTCACCAGATACTTATGAAAAACATCGGTTGACCGGTCATGCACATACTCGATAGGCGATAGAGGGACAATTTTGTAAAATTTATAAAATCTGAGCTTTCATCTTATCTGCTCTTGGGATTTCCAAGGTAATGTCAAGTTATGAAATTTGGGTGAAGGCAATTGTAAACAAGAGTCAATGTCATCAAAAAGATCTGACATCAAAAATATCTGACATTTGAACATTTGAAGTTCTTCAAAAATTGTTCAACCAGGTTGAAATTTCAATCATCTGACTATTTGACGTTTGAACACTAGATGGCAGTTGAAGTGATAAAGAATAAATAAACTCAAATGTGAAATTTTCTACTTTTTCATGTTTCTTTAAGGATATCGCGTTTTTCAAATAACTTTTCCAAGTTTCATTAAATTTATCAAGGGCCATTCTTCATTTGTATTTCTCTGCAGATTACGCGCATCTAATGTCTTTGCTAGTTTGGAATGGTTTAGAACTAAGCGAAGATACATTTTGCACGTTTTATTATCCTTGACGCCTTTTTAAAATTTTTCTTGAAATGTTAAACTAGGTATTTATTTCAAGAAAATGGAAGCTTTTCACATTTAGAACTAGAATATTTTATTCGTTATGTTTTCACTTTGCACCGCAACACGATATCTTCTACACATTTTTACCATTAATTCTATTAAGCGTTTGATCTTGCATTCAAAAGATAAAAAAATTTTGTTACCTAGTGAAGCGGGTGAAGAATCAAAATGATTAATTGTTATTTTAACACCCGATGAAATATTGACAAGGACGATACTATAAATCATCAATAAAGAAGCAGTAGCTATTTAAGGTTAATTTTTCATAAAGTGATAATTGATGCTACCTCATTAATCTACGAATATTTGAAGGGAGCGAAAAGTGAAAAAAAAAGACTCAAAACCGAATGGGAAGATTCAAAATGATGTGTTTTATCATTTTTAATTAGCTCTATATCATGGAGAGAGAAAATATCGAGCTGTTTGCTACTAAGTCATATGCAAATTCATTAATTGTTGCGATTAATTACCGAATAATTAAGGCGCACTTAAGAGAGGCGTTTTAAACTTTTTTTTATGGCCTCGTTATTTTCGTGCAACATGAAACAGCAAGGAATGAAATGACAAAAACTTGAAAACGTACACAACGTAAAAGCATATCATTAAAAATTTTAGTATCAGTTTAATGTCGTTTTAATTTCATGTATTCATGAAACATCGTTATGAGCAATAACAATGCTGTCAAAACCACAGTTAAATATTAATTTTAATAAAGCAAACTCTCCCTTTAGAAAATTAAACTTTCTTTTTTATTTTTGCTACGAAAAGATCAGAGAAACTGTCATGACATGTACAATCCCTAAAGCTAAAAAAGGAATTTCGATCAAGCTGAATGTTCATCAATACGGTACAGAATTATTTCTCATAAAAGTAAACAGCAAAATATGTGCGCTAATGCTATAAAATATATGCACATAACAAAAGAGCGAAAGGAAAACATATAAAAAGAAAAGTCGACAAAGATAAAACATAAAAAGTTATAAGAGTCTCTTTTTTTCATCTCAATGCTCTACACACGTGTTTTGATAATGAAAATAAACGGATCTATAAGTTTACGAGATCGTTTATACCCTTTTTTTGACTTTTTTCAATTCACTCAGCCGCGAGTACAAAAGCACAACATAAAAAGCAAAAGCTCAAAAGCATAAAACAATGCTCCTACGCAAGAAGAGCATAAAAAAATTTATAAGAAGATCATAAAACAGATAAAGACTTTATCATTTATAACCATCATCGGGACATTTGTTTACGTATCTATTTTGAAGAATGATATCTACACTAATCCTCGAGTATATATAATGATGAATTATTTATTGGAAATTGATTACGAGACGTCCGTTCGACAATCAACTTGACTGTTTATTCAGCTTCTTCAAATCTTTCTCACTAAAAATGATGAAGCGACAGAAAAATGACATGCATTGTTATTGTTTTATAACAAGATTGTCAACGTTGACTAAGTAGTGAATGGGTGGAAATTACTATAGACAAAAGGATAACTTAAGTCAAGTGCTGATTGATCCATCATCGTTTATGTAATAAGAACAAATTGTTTATGAAATGTAATCGACATCGAAGGAAGACGAAAGTGTAAGAAATGTTCGTCTTCATTTGATTCATTTCATACATTAAAGGCATCAGCGAATATTTATGCTGAAATTCAAGTGATTGATTGCATATTTCGGCTATTGCAATACATCAATGTGCTTTAAAGCTTAAGCAATGTTGTAAGATGGATTGATATTTGAAATTTTCTCTTCCAATCGTTCGTTGGTTATTTATGTTATTGGCTGTCGCTCTGATCAAGTAATATTTCGTTGAGAAAGGAAATTTATGATAATAAAAATGAGAGTTAACTAACGAGCTACCTTTAAAGCAGCGTTGAAAAACATTTCTTCATTTTATCCATCATACGACAACAAAAGCGCAATTAAGCGTGATATTTGCTTAACATTCCGAATAAATATATTTTTCATTCTTGCATTTAAATATGAAAGCATAATGAAGTATTTCTGACATCTCCTTCAATCTTCATAATGAAATATGGAAAAAAATAGAATGAAGGAGAAAAAAAAACTAATTCTTACAAATATACGAGTAAAACGTTCTTCCCGTGCTTGCGAAGCCACTTATTTCAGACTTTCTAAAACCATGAACTTTTTCTCGTTATGAACGACTTTCACGTACGATGTAATATGAACTTTTTCAATTTTCTACGTTTTGCAATAAAGCACACGTAAAATTCTCAGGTTGTTCGTTAACAATTCTTTATCCCATCTCTTCATCGTGTTCTTAAAGTCTAAGCTCTGCGAGTTTAAAAGGCATAAGTCTTCACTTAATTATGCAGAAGGCATGATAATTATGGAAAAGCATGAGAATGTATATTGGTTGTTAAAGTCATTCATTCTACATATGATAATGATTTTAAATTGAAACATTATTCAAGAATAAATTTATCGCAATGTAATTGAATCTTAATTGATGTCAATTTAATAAATTTTTCAGAGATTTATGCTTGTTTCTTTATTTAAAAAGCTACCAATCGACAATTTTTATTGCATTCAAAGTTTTATGTGTAAAAAATTCCACAAGCAGCACCAAATAATTAAGCAATGGACGATGATCATAAACATGAAGCATATGTAGTGCAGTATTTCGCAATGCATGTATCAACGACATTGCAAAAAGCGGGCAAGGGTCATTAAATTACTCTCCCACCATGAAAAATTGCTTGTTGATTACCATCTGTTCCTAGAGTCATTTACACTCAATTCGTTTGCGCTTTTTCCCTTCAACTAAACTACCGAACATGAACACAACTCATAATGGAATGTTAAATGAGACCATTCTAACTTCTTCCTCAAACATATCTGCAGTAAACAAAACTATGCACAAGCTTTTGGTTTTTTGAGTAAATTTCCAATTTTTCAATGCGATCATTTTGTCGAGAAACAAAAATTTTTCAGACTGCTGATGGTATATTTCTACGTACATTTTATTCATTCACTCATCCAACTATCTGCTTCAAATCCTTTATTACATGAATGTAAACAGATGGCAAAAGGGAGGAGCTTAAGCAATAAAAGATTCTTTTCTCGCCTTTCATTTCAAATCACTTTTTCTTCTTCTTCTTCTTCATTTCCCACTTAATATAAAATGAATAAAATTTTC